TCAAGCCCCGAGCAAAAATAGGTTTTGTCAGCCACTAACACTCATCACAATTGCAACCAGATGGCCGAGCGAGTGGGAGAGCAGGCTTCAATAAACCGTGTTAGGGCCACATTCCCCCTCACTCCCAGCTTGTGCCCAGCATCAAAGGCCACCCGTCAACAGTGTTTGGTCTGCACTAATATCAACGCAACAAACCTCTGTCGCGAGACAAGCTGGGCAAGGCCAGTGCACTAAACGAGCCTCGACGTACACGCCGAACACGGACGTAATATTGTTAATCTGTCAAAACGGTGCAGTGGTCAGAGAGCTCGGCAAAACAACCAGAAGGTTTCGAGTTTTAAATGACTGCTCCGAGGTCGGCACAACCCAACATCATCCCGTTAGTGGTCGACACAGTGAGTACAACGATGTGAGAAGCCAACGGTGATTGATCATCTGCCTGGAGAATACGGGATGAGTGCCACTTTGCGGGAAGTCAACCGCGGACGACCCATGGATCGAATGCCCAACTACCACCCCGCCGTCACGGGAACGTGGAATTCCGTTCCTGGCTCGGAGCTTGCCAACGGAGGGCGAGCGCTGCCCAGCTGCTCGTACGGCCAAGGTGACGTACCAAACGGAATGCTAAAAAGTCGCAATAACCGTGGACCAACTTCTAAAGGGACTGTCGGCACCACACCTACAATACGAGGGGCCGTGGATTTTTCGAGTCAGCCCTTACGCTGAACCATTTGTTGTTTGTTAAGATTATTTAATAAGTTCTACCCCGAGGTCATATCGTAAACAGGCCAGGGGTCAATTACAATGGTTAACTGTGTGATTTGTAATCAATTTTAATCGCAGTGTAATTGTAGATTCGGCTAACGATGCTGCTATAACCGCGATAATAATTAAAGCTCAGGTCTAATCGTTGCGGGTGCTTTTTCTCGTTTGCCCTGCCCCGCCCAACCATTGCTGTTTCTGTGTTGTGTTGCTCATGGGTAATGATAATATAATTATTCGTCTGCTCTGTGGTGTTTTGCATCCTATTTTGAACTCTCAGAAACAAAAAGGGACACAATCGAGGATTTAAATGAATGTGCTTTAAACAGTGGACTTGAACAGCGTCGTGTGTGATGGCTATGGTGATGCCGCACAACTGCAATCCAGAGTTGGTGGAACACGAGGAGATGGAGCCACAATAGTGTACACGTGACCCCCAAACCCACAAGGCTGTGTTTATCAAACCTGTTTGGCCCGCGGACCAATCAGTTGCTGCAAACATTTCCACGGACCACCCCCACCACTGCGGACAAAACGCATTCACTGATCTCTCTAAATATCACTCATACTAAATGACTCATATTACCGTAACATAAAAACATGTTTCTTTAAACGCAGGTGTTTTTTTAGGAGGGGGTGCGGGGGGCATTCAGATGTGAGGGTTAGGGTAGTTTAATCAGGGTAGTTTACTTAACCTTATTTTAAAATTAAATATTAATGTCCGAAACAAAAGGTACAATAAACGTTGTCACTATTGTCTGGATCAAGCTGCGTTTTCAATCACAGCCACCGGCGGACCACCTGGAGGACCGTCGCGGACCACCTGGTGGGTGCGGCGGATCACACTCTGAGAACCACTGCGCCATGGGGCAATGAGGTGGCGGTGCCTGCTGGACGGAGGACAGCAAGTTGGCATCCGGCAATGGCCTTACGGATTCAAGTGCCGCCTTGCACCAGCGACGCATGCATCATATCACGTTTCTCCGAACAAATGAGTTTGAACGCGTGTACGCTGCCAGCGATGTGTGCTCTTGAGTTCACGGAAAGAAGATTGAACAAACAAGATGGACAATACCAGTGAGAGAGTACGAAATAAAGAGCAGGGAATGGATTATTTCATGGAAGAGTGACCCCGGATCATGACAATTCATTGAATATTTAGCAGGAAGATAGTGGGTGGGGGGAATGGTAAGAATAGATGCATGCCAAAAAGTTGGGTTCAAGAAATTAGATTCCTATATTGCAATTTGATCACTAATGTAGCTGTTAAGGATGCTGTACTGTAGTAGGCCTAAATACCATGTTCCGAGATGAGGTGAATTGGACGACTTGGGAGACTGTGTGCTCTTGAGTTCACGGAAAGAAGATTGAACAAACAAGATGGACAATACCAGTGAGAGAGTACGAAATAAAGAGCAGGGAATGGATTATTTCATGGAAGAGTGACCCCGGATCATGACAATTCATTGAATATTTAGCAGGAAGATAGTGGGTGGGGGGAATGGTAAGAATAGATGCATGCCAAAAAGTTGGGTTCAAGAAATTAGATTCCTATATTGCAATTTGATCACTAATGTAGCTGTTAAGGATGCTGTACTGTAGTAGGCCTAAATACCATGTTCCGAGATGAGGTGAATTGGACGACTTGGGAGACTCGTATACATGTGCACATGTCCACATGAACGTACATGTCCATACATGTACACATGGACGTACATGTATGTACATGTGTACATCTACGTTCACAGCCCTTTGCCAATCCACTGCCGGATGAGGGCCTCTCCACGTCTTGGGGTTATTTGACCATACTTCACCATGCTGGTCCATGCGTTATGGCAGTACATGGGGGCATAGAAGGGCCATACAGCATCGGATTTTGCTGCACTGCCCTCCGCTGCCCATAGCGTAGCACTGACACCCAAGCAGAAGAATGCGCTGACAACCGCCGGAATCCAACGTTTGAATCTACGCGTAAGGCCGCTGTCGATAATGAAACCGGGTTTCCCCGTGACCTACCTTTTCTCTCCCGCCTATGACCGAGTTCCCCTCTCTCTACATATATGAAAAAAATGCCGTTCCCCCCCCCCCCCCTGTTTCTGCGCAGGCAAAAAAAAATTTGAAACAAGTGTTGGCGAGAAGGAAACCAGGCACCACAATGGGGCAAACTTCCCATACTCCCAGAGCTGCAGAAATGCCCTGCGCCTCTTCTGAACTCTTACAAATACGTCATGGGTGTGAAGCAGGACATGCAGTGGCGCATGCACTGCGCTATGAGCCCGGGCAACCAGAGTTTGATTGTCGGCCACTGCTAACATCAAGTTAAACTAAACAAAACGAATTTTACACGCTTTCTATTAACTCACTCTGTCTGTTGTTGTTGTTGTATCCTCAAATCTTGTAACTCAATTTTAACCCACTTCCCAATGTGCTATCGACTGCAAACTTGGTATACTTATGTCATACTGATGACAATACTATATTCTATCATTAAAATTTTTAAAACATATATTTTTCAACGTTATTTTTTTATGTTATGTTTCTGCTTGGGTCTAATTGTCCACGCTCAACTTACGTTGGCTGTAAATCACCACGGCCCCTTACGTTATGGCAAGCTTTGCGGCCACTTCCTGGAGTCGTGGAGTTCTGCCATTACGAGTACGGTACATTTCATTAAAGCGTGTTTTAAAAAAAGTATTTTTAAATAATACTTATTATTTTACCAGGTAAAACCCACTGAGCTACACAGCTTTTTTTCAGAAGCGACCTGGCCACACAAATGGTAGCCCAACGAAGTGGCTTATCACGTGGAAAACCTTTTCCACGCCAAATACTCTAAACGCATGATTCTAAATGTGGAGGGAAAAACCGGAGATCCGGAGAAAAATCCAAAAAAACAGGACCCAGAGAAAGTAAAAAATGTAGTTGTTCATTTTGGATATAGGCCATCCGCATATAAAGGTACGGCCCTGCAATTTCATGCTGGTACCACTGCTGGAAAAACCGCCACCACAAGAGGGAGCTCTAGTGAGCCCTGTAGACTTGCTAAACAATAACATCGATTCTCACCTTATCTTGTACGTATGTTGCACTTCTTTCGCACCACACGTAGCCAACCGTGCTCATCGGAGGTGTGGATATATCTATAGAACGCCATAGCTCAAGGCTCAAGGTACTTTAAATAGTTTAAAAGCGGTCCAAAAATACAGTAATTTAGATGGCAGGGGCGTGCAAAGGCTGAGGAATGAGTGACCATAACAGAGGATGCACTGGGGTAATGAAAGGCCTATATAGGAGAGGGACGTAATGGAGTGGAGGGGTGAGGCAAAGGAAGAGGAAGGGAATGGGTAATGAAGAGGAAAGCTTTGAGGAACAAAAGGAGGTTAAGGCGGGGTACTGCTGAGTATATAGGGTAAGTTAATTCCAATAGTAGGTAAATCAAGATTGAAAACTCATTTATTTAGAACTGATTTTTGTGTTTAAATAGCACGATGGAACCGTTGACGTCTACTGTCAAGTGTACGTCACGTATAATAATAGGGTTTTACCCCTTTTTTCTGGCAACAAAACTGAAACCTTTTTACAAGGATTCATGTTTGCATTAACCACAATACCTGCAAAAGGCGTCATCTGGTCAAGTACCAACTGGGTCGAGGCTCAAAAGAAAGCCGTCCCTTGGTGTGGACCAATCAGTTTCAAGGACAATGCCACATATATTATCATAGTACGTTTTATGTTTGCATTTTAACTGCAGGTATTGTGGTTAATGCAGTAACATGAATCGTTGTAAAAAGGTTTCAGTTTTGTTGCCAGAAAAAAGGGGAAAAACCCTATTATTATATTTTGGTACTGGCAAAGGAGGTCTAATGATGTACGTCACTTATTATTATTAATATTCATATCTTCTTTGGTTCTTTTGGTAAAGTCACGTAGCGCTGTCCTCCAGACAGTCTCGTCCCTTCACCTGATGAAGGCCGCTTGTGTTGTGGCCGAAACGTCGTGAGACTTTTCATCGTGTTATTTTATTTTATCGATTTATTATTTTATTCTCATTCTACGTGACTTTACCGAAAGAACCAAAGAAGGCGAATCCTTGCAGTCACGAAAGCTTTAAATCGAAACGTTCAAATCCTTAATAGACCTGCAGCGTGAACTGCCGTGGCTGCCAGGCAAGCAGCAGCCGCACACTCCCGCTCGACCCGTGTCACCGCCACCAGAACGCCGCGTGCGTGACCTCGTACCTGGGCTGCGCCAGGCAGCCTGGCGCGATCACCTCCCTGGGAGGAACGCCTCCGCCCCGACGCAGCGACGTCAACGCGGCCATGCTGACCGCCACGTCGCTCGGCATTCCCGGCAGGCGCGGCAGCACTCCCAGAATCCTTTCTGCCAAGCTGTCGCCGTGGTGGCCCACGGCTCCTGCGAGAATGAATGGAAGCGCACGAACCAGGTCAAGCGGAAGCGTCGCACATCCCCTTAGCGTGCGTGACTATGCACGGTGTAAAATAAGTCCAACATACGTACATCGTTATCAGTCATGATCGAGCCACTGCTGGATGAAGACCTCCTCAAGCCCTTTCCATTGGTGGCCCTAAGCCAATGGTGTAAATTGCACATGCTTATGATGGGTCAAGTCTATCCTTAGCACAATGACTGTTGACTTTCACAATGTGAGATTTTATTTTATCCTCTGAGCAAAGGGCTGAGTTGACCACCAAGTCAAGCGTTTGATCCACGTGTCACCTGCATGGATTTGGATCCCGGGGTTTGGAAAAAAAATCGGTAATGTTTACGAACATGTACTTATGGAAACAACATCAATGACGTGAAAAACTGGATAATTGATGTGCAGCGTTGTGGGACGCGATTGCACGAATGACGCTACATAAAATGAAATTACCATCAACTGGTCAAAAATGTTGCTGCGACATTATTGAAGAGTCAAACGTTCATTTCAGATCTTCTCTCGACGACCCTGCGGCCAGTGAACAGTCAACACAGTCCGCATTTCTCGCAATGGACGAGCGCTGTCCACTGTCCCACACGCTGCGTGCAAATCGACGGGAGCCACACACAGCGTCCGTAATAATCTCTCACCCGCCAGGTCCAGCGTCCTGTCCACGAGGACCAAAGAGGCTCGGCCAGGCGCGCCCTTCCTCCGAGCGCGCGCGGGAGGCAGCGAGGCCAACTCGTTGGCCAGCAGGCGACTCGTGGGGCCCACGGCGAAACACTCCTCCCGCACGCCGAGATGCCTCAGCGCCGAGTCCAGCCACCAGGCGAGGAGGCGCAGGGACGAGGCGTAGGGCGCGGGCAACGCCGACACGTCCACGTCGTTCAGACTGTGCTGCTGCTGCGACTTCTGCTTCTGCTGCGGCTGCGGCTGCTGCTGCTTGGCGCCTCGCCTGCTGCCCCTGCCACCAGCCAGAGCGCCATCCAGGTCGCTCGGCACGAGCGGGAAGAGCGATGCGGAGGCCGGAGCGAGGACGACGCCGCTCGCCAGCGGGCAGAGCGCGATGCCGGCCGCGTGGAGGACGCGCGCGGTGCAGTCGGCGCCACCGCTGCCGCTCATCCACTGGCGCAGGTTCTGCTCGAGGAGTTCGAAAAGCACGGGCCGGGGCTCGCTGTCCGCTGCTGAGCTTGAGGTTGCCGCCGCCGCCGCCGCTGCTGCTACTGCAGCCGCCGAGACACCCAGTCCTCCTCCTCCTCCACCCTGCTGCTGCTGCTGGAGGAGGTCAAGGTGAGCGGTGTGGCTCACGGACGTGAACACCACGCATTGGTGGACGCCGCCCGCAGACACCACGTCCCGCAAAGACGCGGCCACGCGGCCTCCGAGCAGCACCGGGGAGCTGAGAGCAAAGACGACCTTGTTCGGCTGACGGTGCTGCTGCTGCTGCACGCCGTCCCGCCGTCCTGGGAAGGCCCTGAGGGCCGCGGCCCCGGCTCGCCAGGGCCCCGCGTCTCCCCCTGCTCCGCCCGTCCAGTGCAGCGACTCGGCGCACGCCTCGTCCACGAACACCGCGGCGTCCTGCGCCTCGGATAGCACGAGGCGCCAGCCGGCCAGGGCCAGGGGAGCGAGGTCTCCAGCGGCGGACATCGCCAGCTGCGCTCTTAGGCTTATCACGAGAACAATGACAACGGGACTACGGTGGCGAATTAAAATCCGCGTTGGATCAACAAGACGCGCGTGTCCACCACCCGCTGTGCAGTTGAGGGTCGCGTCTGAAAATCCGATGCGATTTTTTGTTTAAAAAAAAACAAGATGCGATTGACAGCGTGCGCTGGGGCTTGTCGTTACGTCGTATAATCCGGTGTTATAGCCGACACGGCAGTAATGTTGTTGTTTGTTGTTATTGTTTGTTTGCTGTGAAGTTGAACTCGAATCGGACGTCGCCCGCTGCTGTTTACAGTGCGCGCGGCGTGGCGTCACGCGGCTTCGCATTACCTAGACCGGATAGACGCGCGCCCGCCGCTCATTGGCCGGAGGGCGACGGTGAGCCGCGTCGCGATTGGCCGAGGCGTCGCTTTCGCGGCCAATGGGGGGGGGGCGAGATGCGTGTGCGTGGTAGGGATTTGAGTGACGCCGCGAAGGTGGACCGGGCCGCACGCTGATGACGACGGCGGGAGAGACCATTCGCGTCGCGGGGGTGTTGATGAACTTGGGACTAAAGATGTTTATAATTGATTTTTTCCAAGTGTCGATTGGTAAGGGAATTAACTGAAGTGTTTATATGAGACGCGTCAACTTGTAAGTATTGTAAAATATACAGTACATCGGATGTACTTCCAAATAATGTAATGACCTCGTATGTAATAGCTTAGCAAGCGCTGTAAATGCATATAATTAGTTTCATAGTTTTATTTATTTTGGTATAGCCCTGTGAGCCATTCGGCTCTTGAATCGGGTGCAACCGCAACAAACAAAAAACACGAACAAGAAAAACATCTTAAAGTGATTATGTGACTGTGCAAACACAAAATCCAGGAAAAAAAACATCAAAATATTCCTGAAACAGCACCGTACACCAACGCTGTGTGCAAAAATCCCAGTGGGATGCAAGTCAAACAACAACAACCACAAGACAACTAAGATTAAGGCCATCAGTCTAACTCCGTACTACAATAAACAAAAACATTGCCAAACCAAAAAATGTTTTCGAAATCACCAAAATAAAGCCATAAATTGCAATGTAACAGTGATCATAGGAACTGTGACCGAATTTTTTTAACAATAAACTACATAAATAACATGTAACACCAAACCCTGTAGCCACAGCTGGCTTCATAAGTCACTCCACAAACAACAGGAGCATCAGTCGGAGTATCAACATTTCTCAATGCACCTTTAAGATCAGCACGCTAAATAAAAATACAGAATAATACTTTGCAGCGGTCATCCGGAGCGAAACATTTTATTTTATGCCACTGAATAGCAGTGGCAGCTAGGGGTGTACAACTCCTCTAGAGCAGTTTTGAGTGAAGATCTCATAGGTAGCGATTCAAGTTGCAGTTTATTGTCAATAGCATTCCAGACCCTGGGGGGCATCAATATCGTATCTCTGTCCACAATAATAAATACATTACTACAATATTAACTTAACTACATATAACATGAATACCGTATACGATGTAGTTACCGGTAATGTGGGGGGGGGGGGGAGGGGGGGAAACCCGGCTTTAACGATCCTTTAACAATATCGTCCACGAAACAATACCGCGTCACACGTGGCAAATGAAACGCGCCACGCGAATGATAACTCCACCGCATCATCGGTCATGCTCGATCCGCCGCTGGATGAGCTGTCCCCATTATCCTGCGCCAATCAATTGCAGCAATAGGGGCCCAAGCGGCAGATCACGCCCCAGGAGCTGTGATCTCGTCTCGGGCTTCCATCGCGTTCACGAATTAACACCACCCAAAAACAACTTCATTCGCGACCTCGCATCGACGAACCAAACACAATCAGCAGATCTACATTTGATCAGGTCGCATTCGATCAATAATTTGTAAGTATTTGAACTTTCCTTCGAACTCCCTCCCCCCCCTCCACTAACCCCGTGATTGGACTCGCCCGGCAACACGGAAGAGAAGACGAGGGGGGCCACCTCACTGCATCTCTGCTGCCGCCTCCTCCTCCTCCTCCGCCTCCTCGATTCCTCGTTCCTCGTCCTCCCTTCTTCCCTCCCTCCTCGTCCTCGTCGTCGTTGTCCGGAGACGTCGCCATGCCCAAGACGAGGCCGGCCAAGCTGACCCCGAGCAAGCTGTACATCTGCTCGTTCGAGAACTGCAACGCGGTGTTCAACAAGGAGCGTTACCTGCGCGAGCATGTGGGCAAGCACACGGGAGAGGTGCGGCCACCACCACTGCTGCTCATTCGCCTCACCTCGTTCAGTCATTCACCTCGTTCGTTCGTTCGTTCCACGCCTTGCGACGGCGTTGCGTCGAGCTGCCCAACTCGCGACGTTCAACACCAAGCTGAGGAGGGAGCAGAGGCGCGCGCCGGGCCCTGCAGCTTACCCCTCCGGCTGCTCCCGATGGGCCTCGTCCCTCCACTTACATCTTATTTAGATTTATAGAGCGTCGCCTTTAGCCAACACCACCACCACCACCCTTGCCCCCTCAAACCGAATTCCCACTCAGTCGCGCTATCACACGCGGCTGAGTGGGAATTCGGTTGCACGTTGCAGTTGACAGCTGCCATACATACAAATCTTGGTTGCGGTGGCTGATGTGGAGTGAGCTTTTGGAGTCTCTGTTCATTTTAGTTCCTATGCAATGCCACAGTGCGTCTTTGCTGCTGCTGCTGCTGAAGACTACGGCCGACGGCCTCGAATCCGTTTAAACACGAACATAAATGCACGCGCAGTGCGGATATGCGGTATACGTGCACGCAAATATCTGTCAACCCGTACGGGTCTACTCGTATTCTTGTGCTGGGACATTGAGTTTTGAGGTCCGTACGGTGTACAGCCGTTACAATACGGGCAAACATTTTTGTTTTGCTCGATGTTGTTGTTTCTCCCTTGTGATGGGACTTTGTAGGATGAACGTTGAGATTTATAAGTGGCACGGGGTGACCAATAAGGTCTGAATTGGTCTGTGATAAAGCAGGCACTGAGGTATGTTGTTGTGAGTGTACTAGTAGCGAGTGTAGTTGTGGTGATTGTCTATTTGTTGGTGTTTCTCCCTTGTGATGGGACCTTGTAGGATGAACGTTGAGAGTTATGAGTGGCACGGGGTGACCAATACGGTCTAAATTAGTCTGTGATAATGTAGGCACTGAGGTATATTGTTGTGAGTGTACTAGTAGAGAGTGTAGTTGTGATGATTGTCTATTTGTTGGTGTTTCTCCCTTGTGATGGGACTTTGTAGGATGATGAACGTTGAGATTTATAAGTGGCACGGGGTGACCAATAAGGTCTGAATAAGGTAGGGCACTGATTAGGGGTGGGCAAGTATGCACGCATACACATGTACCGTATAGAAGGGAGCCGTGGGCACAGGGATTATCGCACACCCACTTTGAGCCAGACGGATCTCCGTTCAATACTTGGCCAAGGCCACATCAAACCAGCCCTGCCGCACTACCCCCACACCCCCAAATCCACACCCCCAAACCCACACACCCCCACACCCACTCGCCCCTGCATTCGCCAGCGTGGTGTGGTGAAGTATGGTCAAACAAACCAATGGACCCACCTTCGCACAGCCCCTTGTTCAGCTGCACATTGACAACTGCAGTCTTTTTTTTTTATCTGGGTATCGAACACAGAGGGATACATTTGCCAAGTCGACCACCGACTGGGAGATGGGGCTCATGACCTCGTGAGTATGAGCCACGATCTCAGCAGCAGATGAGGTTTCAGTCTGTGGCCATATTTTTGTCAGACCAGACCAAAGTAAGCGGCACGATTGCTATTGATTTCAGGTTGCAGTTCGATCGGTCTTGTTTTTCAGACATTTGATTTGCTAAACTTTAATAGACCTCGGCGAGTCGCAGCTGCCAGAGGACAACACTGGCCCACGGTTTATCTGCGTAAAAAAAATGCTGCTGGAGAACATTAATCATCAAATACCCTACGATACCTGTGATTAATCCGGGTTCTCGACTGTGGTGAGTTGATGGTCTTATCCCAAGCGACCGATGTCTGCACGCAAAAACAATTATACACAATTTGGCCCTGCACTTAATTTAATAAAATTCCAGTTCTGGGAATTAAATGGTAGATTTGACTGCAAAATTTTACCCCCCCCCCCCCTCGGTAGCATCGCAGGTGGGAAATTGTTTCCACATGCCGTGTGGGACCAGATGTCATCTGAAGGAGACTCTGAGATGGCTCTCTGACATCTGCTTCTGTGGGCCGTTCTCAAGCATAAAGGGCCACACTGCCCCTGCTGGAGATCCGGATGGGTAATAATATAACAATACAATTTATGAAGCGCTCAAAGTTGTGGACTGAAGACGCAATTCTGAGGCGCGGAGTCGAGCTCAGTGTCGTGTCGCTTCGCGCGGTCTGGTGAGACTCGGTCAAATGTCGAGCCGAAGAGGTGACGCGCCGCCTTTAGGTGGTTATTGAACGAAGAAAACGATTGTCGGCATCTCTTAACCTGGCACCGGCAGCACAATTGGGGGAAAAGAAAAACGTTTTTAGAAAAAGCTACTTTACATTAAGCCATGCATTTCTTGTCTGTTCAACATTCATTTACAACAGTATTGATGACGATGCGTTCTCTGCGTGGATGATTAACACGCGGCGTTTGTGTGCGCTCTGCGAGACAGAACACATTTGCGTGCGAGGTGCCCGGCTGCAGCAAAGCGTTTATGCGCAAGGAGCACTTCGATAACCACATGCGGCGCCACACGGGAGAGAAGCCACACGTGTAAGTCCCTCATCCTTTGTGTAGCCTGCTTTTGAGAACCTGTTGAGAGTGTCGCCCGATTTCCACGAGAGACCTGGGGAAAACGTGGCTGTGAACTTTAGTCAAGAGTGCGGAGGTCTTCACCGCCGTTGATGCCGTCAACACCTGACCTCCAGGGTTCGCTCTTACTTTTTTTTTTATCCCCGTCGGCCGGGTTTAGCCCCTTCCCTTTTGGTCGACTACCTCTCCTTGCCACTCCGTCTCGGTAACCTGCCCTGCTCCACCCTGCACGGGTTGTCGCAACCAATGCAACTTTCTCCTCCTGACGATGTCCACGTCACTTACCAGTCACCATTCCATTCTCAACTTCGAAGTTTGCTTACTTGGTCCAGAAGTGACTGTCGTAGCTGCATTGGCAGGCGCCTGGAATCGGTGTACAGAAGCTTCGCTCGTCTGATTGCTCTGTTAAATTCCGGTTCTTGTAATTAGGTACCGGATCGTGATGTTCACAGTTGGCGTACTGTAAGAGCGGACCTTCTCGGTCGTATGTTCACTCTAAAAGAGTGTGAGGAAGAGCACGTTGAAGATGTGCGGTGACATCTACGGCATCGATGCATCAATCATGGTTGCATATTAATACAAATAATGTTTTATTTGTATTACTTTATTATTTCCCTTCTACGTGACTTTGCCGAAAGAACCAAGAATATGAATCCCTGCAGCCACGACAGCTTTAAATCGAAATCATGGTTACGTTTGCTCATTGGGTTGGATTGTGTTCATTGGGTCGTGTTGTGTTCATTGGCAGCTGCGAGTATGAAGGCTGCAATGAGGCCTTCTCCTTGCGATCCAACCTGATGCGGCACATCCGGAACAATCACGAGAACCCCGAAAAAATATACCAGGTATGGAGTGCCGGGTGGGACGTGTGGAGCGCTCACATTACACATTCATTAGGAACTCCGTTGACGTGGCCGGGTGGCTCAATGGTCCAAGAACTGAACCAGCAATGGTAACATCTTGAGTTCAGGTGGGGGTTTCAGGCACAGCACACAACAACAGACACAGATCCCCCGTAGAGCCTTAACAGGTTGTTGGGGCAAGTGCTGTGAGCGAGCATCTATGAAGGCCGGAACGGTACACAAGGAGGTGGGTGGCCAGCACCACGCCCGACCGCCTTTGTCTCCCAAGTGGCAGTGTTTACTCACCACACCAGGTACTAATTTGAGGCTGAGTCGACCTAGGGGAGGCCCAGGTACTCATTTGCGGCTGAGTCGACCTAGGGGAGGCCCAGGACCGGGTTCATAGCGCAGCGCGCTAACAACTACATTACCGTTCCCCGCTGTTTTTCAGGCACCTGTGATTAAACTAAGTTCTAAAGTGTAGCGAGTTAATCGTTACTACCAAACAATTAAAACAATTGATTCTGTACTTACATTGGATAAATTCCAGCTCCAAATGTACAATTTTGGTGGTAATGCTGTGAACATTTATTTGGAGCATGTATGTTCGTTTAACTCCTTTCGCACCGTGTGTAGCCAACTGCTCTAATTATCGGAGGTGCGAATCGTGTGGGGATAGTGCGTTTCCTCGTGTTTTGTTAAAAGAGGTCACATGAAGTGATCTCAGAGGTACCTCTCTGAGGTTTGATTCTGCGTGCCTTTCACTATAACGGGGCAATGCACTGTTCTGCGAGAGCTCCAAATGGGTCATTCTTCACCGTATGACACGATGCAGAAACTACAAATGGAATATAATTGGGGGGAAAAAAGACAAAAACAAATCTACTCATAATTTAAGGACTTTGTAAGCACTGGTCAGAACCAAAGCTGATGTGTCTCGCTGCTTCAAAAACTGTCAGGCATTGCTCATCTCTGTTTATGGCCTTGAGCCACTGGTGGCAATTCCACATTTCAATAGCAGGGCTAGTCTCTAGATTAACTTTTGGACGTGTTGTAAACACACTGACACAAATGCACAACCTTTGTCGTCGGTCATCCTTTATAGCACTTCGTCAATCCACTGCTGGATGACGGCCACCCCATGTTGTGTCTAGTTGGGGGTAGTCTAACCATACTTCACCACGCTGGTCAGTGCGTTTTGGCAAAGTGGGAAACCCAGGGGTCGATTTGGATTTTACCCGACATTTCAGATATTAGCCATCGCCAGGAATTAAACTCAGGTCACCGCGTTCATAGTGCAGTGCGCGAGCCACAGTACCACCTCATTCCTAATACTTTCTTAGAAAAGTAAAATATATAAACAGGCTCATGTGGACAATGCCCTTGTTCACAGTAGAGAACGCAGCCACATTGATATATAAATATAAATGTTATCGAGTCTTCAGACGTCCCCACACTTTTCATTCAAATAGCCCACTGTGTTCAAGGCAACTCGTTATCAAGTGCAAGTCCTTGCCCACGTAGTCAACCTACCGTATATGGCTGTGTTGTGAAGCAACGTGGTGGTCGTGGTGAGTGCCTTTTGGGTTGTGGAATGTGGCGCTTATAAGCTTTAACAGAACGAGGGCACGCCCTCTAATCCGCAATGATAGGGGCCACACCTTCGCAATGTCGGTGAATATCGGTTTGCCACTCACGAATGTTAATGTTTTTTGCAGCTTGTATATAATGTATGTTGGACTTCTTTCGCACCGTACGTAGTCAACCGTACGTAGCCAACCATGCTAATCTGAGATGCGGGGAAGGACCACAAACTAAACACAAAAAAAGAAGTTCTAAAAGAAATTAGTTTTCAATCTAGATTTAAAAGTCCACAGCCACTAATTAACATGCCAATTTAAAAAACTGCCGTTGGGGAAAGATTTTTGTTTAAATGTACATTTTTTTCAGGTCCCATGGTGTAACGTGCTGTCTCCAACTCTCTGGCCTCGCTATTGTGTGGTGCGAAGAAGGGCAATTACCCCAAAACGTCCGCCTATTGTACCCCTTTCCTCCTAGGGCCACAGTGTTGTTGACGAAGATGTCGAGTTGAATTATTATTTTTGCACCACTGCCGCCGCGGTCTCGCCAAATCATTTGTTTCATTTAGATTGAATTCGTGTAGTTCAACCGCTGGCATAGACATCTGTTCATACCCCGGTTGGTAGCTCATCATCCCTTCTGAATTCCATACAATTACTCATTCTTTGTGAGAATAAAAGCAGTGAGTGGGTCCTCATGTGGATACACTTGTCCCTGCCACGCAGGGGCGGAGCCACAGGGGGGGCTGGGGGGGACCTAGCCCCCCTGAAATTTTGGGAAAGTCGGTAATCGGGATAACCGGATATCCGGCTGCTGCAAAATGCTGCTGGCTGCCACCTTGTGCTGCCCTGCAGGCTGCCACCTTGTGTGCTGCCCTGCAGGCTGCCACCTTGTGTGCTGCCCTGCAGGCTGCCACCTCGTGCTGCCCTGCAGGCTGCCACCATCGTGCTGCCCTGCAGGCTGCCACCTCGTGCTGCCCTGCAGGCTGTCACCTCGTGTGCTGCCCTGCAGGCTGCCACCTCGTGCTGCCCTGCAGGCTGCCACCTCGTGCTGCCCTGCAGGCTGCCACCTCGTGCTGCCCTGCAGGCTGTCACCTCGTGTGCTGCCCTGCAGGCTGCCACCTCGTGCTGCCCTGCAGGCTGCCACCATCGTGCTGCCCTGCAGGCTGCCACCTTGTGCTGCCCTGCAGGCTGCCACCTCGTGCTGCCCTGCAGGCTGTCACCTCGTGTGCTGCCCTGCAGGCTGCCACCTTGTGCTGCTCTGCAGGCTGTCACCTCGTGTGCTGCCCTGCAGGCTGCCACCCTCGTGCTACCCTGCAGGCTGCCACCTTGTGCTGCCCTGCTGGCTGCCACCTCGTGTGCTGCCCTGCAGGCTGCCACCTCGTGCTGCTCTGCAGGCTGCCACCTCGTGCTGCCCTGCAGGCTGCCACCTCGTGCTGCCCTGCAGGCTGCCACCTCGTGCTACCCTGCAGGCTGCCACCTCGTGCTACCCTGCAGGCTGTCACCTCGTGTGCTGCCACTGCAGGCTGCCACCTTGTGCTGCCCTGCAGGCTGCCACCTCGTGCTGCCCTGCAGGCTGCCACCTCGTGCTGCTCTGCAGGCTGCCACCTTGTGCTGCCCTGCAGGCTGCTTGAGTGGCAGCCTTTCGAACTTATCGAACTTATTAGCCACGTCAGCGGCTCCGACCTATTAATAAACTCCGCGTTCAAATCCAATAAAATACATTTTATACATTTGCGGCGCCCATTTGAAAACATTAGCACTGGATATCTCAGAATATTGAAGTCAGCCCCCCCAAAGTCAAAATCCTGGCTCCGCCCCTGCTGCCACGGGAATGTGGATATGGAAGCCACCCTTATAGTTTGTTTGTGTTGGGAGAGATGCGTTCACTTAAATTGAAATAATTAAAATGGTCCATTCCCAGACGAAGGGCCTCTCCACCCAGTGGTAGTTAAGGGGGTGGGGTCATTGATCATACTTCACCGCGCTGGTCACTGCGGGTTTTTAATTATGTTGTCATGTTCAATTCGCTTTGTTGCACGAATCTTTAACTCGCGACAGATGTCGAGCCAGCTTTCTTCTACGTATACGCGGACACCCGCGTAATTCCCCTAACTAAACGGGACCCTCCGACCTTGGCCGTTGATTTATTGAGAGAGCCTGGCGCGACTAGCACTCGTTCATTAGACGCTGGTGAGCTTCGGGCGATCATCGCGGAGTTGCAGCGAGCACGGTTTCACTTGCGAGTGCGAGCACCCGGCCCGCGGACGACGGCGCTGCAGCTCCGCACTCGCCCGCGGTTAATTAGCGCCGCAACTGCGCCACCCTCTCGCCTGTCGCCCCGCTGTTCCCCGCCGCAATTTCTTTAAATCACGGTTAGACATCTCCGAGGCCTGGTGGGTTAAGAGGCAGCTGGCTCGCACCATCTTCGGATTAGCGGAGGGCAGCCCGTGCGCTGTACGCGCGCGAGTTTGGTGTGTACGCGAACCTGCGCGCTTGCGCTACGGACCCTACGACCCGAGCTCGATCCCCAATCGCGGCCAACACCAGCGAGGATTTTCTGAACCGGTCCTGGGTCTCCCCTAGGTCGATTCGGCCTCATGTGAGTACCTTGTGCGGTGTGTAAACATCGACACGATGGAGACAAAGGCAGTCGGGTGTGGTGTTGGTCCATCCACCCCTCGTGTGCTGTGCTGGCCTTAACAGGTGCTCGCTAACAGGATTTGCCCCAAAAGTCTGTTAAGGCTATAGGGCGGTCTTTGTTGTATATTTATGCGTATTCTTGAACTCCCCCATATTGGTGTAATATAACCTTTAATGGAATGGCATTTTTATTTTAGCAATGTCGATTTTGTGTCGTCTTTGTGGATTGTAGGTCATAAGTGAAAGTAGAAATGCTGTAGGTGAATCAACAGATTAAATGAATAGATGAATGCACCAGTTAAAGATGTGCTTTGCCAGCATTTGACATTTCTGGTCCTGATCAACAGGGTGTGGCCTCTTAAGCAAAAACCACTAAGTAGGCTACAGTCATAGGCAAGAGTCACCCATGAGTATCGTGGAGTGCAAGTCACATTCAGCAGAAAAGAGAGAACCATTGTGTTATGTATTTATTTTCAATAATCACCGACTCACCAACAAATTGTTCTAACTTTTGTATTCATCCTCTTGCAGCAATTGTACTCTGATTGTGCTGTGGACACCATTTCATGAGATTAAGTATCCAATCGGATCTCTTACAGAGCTATGCAACCCTTTGCGCTAGATAACATAATAACAATAATAGTTAACTTATTTATCCAGGAAATTCACACCGAGTAGGAGAACTCATTTCCAGGAGGATCCCGTGTTGTGTTTTTAATTTTAAGATTTTTTTTTCCACATACGTATGTATGTTGAACTTCTTTCGCACCGTACGTACCCAACCGCGCTAATCGGAGGTGCGGGGGGAAGTACAACAACTAACAACAAAAAGCAGTTCTAAAGAAATGAGTTGTCAATCTAGATGATTTAAAAAGTTCGCAGCTCCAGTGGCTTCCCTAATATCGAGGATCAGAGAGCGTTCCAGACGGCCGCAGAAGCACATGTGAAAGCGCGCTAAGCAGTGACCGTCTTTGTTCGATGGCCAGCCCAAAAGCCACTGTGAGAATGGCCGCCAATTAAAGATGTCTTCATACGAGTGGGAGAAAGCCCATGGGTGCGAGGGGGCAACACTCTATCCCCGTACAGATGGAAATTGATGGCGGGCAATCCACTTCCCAATGCCCGCACGAAGGGAGGTTCACATTATTTGTGTGCGGCGACCCACCAACCCTCGCTACCTCCACAGTGCTGGATTTACAGGCCATGTGCATAGCCCTACTTAAAGAAAGTGTGTATCACAGAGATACCTCTAAGATCCCATCAAGTGACCTCTGTTCTACACAGTAGAGGGGGAGCACTTTCCCACTATGCTCTGCCACCGAGGGTAATGTTTGTCCCGTGACAAGCCAATGTTGTTCATTCTTAAGAGCTGGAATTTATCCATATTAGGGGCAGAACCAACGTTTTTCGTGGTTGTTTATTGCCTCGTTCTCTCTCGTTGAGGACTCGCCTGAGACCACCAACTCCCTCCACTTGAGAACCATCTCGGTTGACGAGATGTTAACTCCCTCGCCCGGTATGCAGGAGGTCGTCGTGGGTTCAATCCCGACGCCTGTTGTACGTTTTGAGTTTGCATGTTCTCTTTGGACGTGGTCGTGGGGATTTTTCTCCGGGTCCTCCAGTTTTTCCCTGCATTTAGAATGAACATCACACGTTTAGATTATTTTGTTGTTCTAAATGCCATCATGATCAGCCACTTCGTTGCTTCTGAAAAAGAGCGAAATAGCTCAGTGGGCCTTACCAGGTAAAATCTAAATAGTTTATAGTTTAGATTAATAGTTGCCTGGAGTTTAACCGATGGTTTTCAGCGGTGCTGGATCGGGCATCTGACAGCTGAGTTACCGGGCCGCCTCCACAAGATAATTTTCTCGGTTGACGTGGACAGTCGGTTTTGGTTTGTGAGCAAAATGGCATGTTTCTCTGCCGCTTCCATGCCTCTTGCAGTGCGAATACGAAAACTGCTGCTTGAGATTTAAAACGGAAGACCAGCTGAAAATACACCAGGTTGTCCACACCAAGACGCTACCGTTTCGGTAAGTCCAGCCACCATGGTGGTTCCTTCTTCGTCTTTGTGCCATGCAAGTTGTCGCGGATTGTTTGGTTGACGGGTTTTGTGGTGGTTCGCGACACATACTTTTAACTTACCCGCTTGGGAGGTGGGGTTGGTGGATCATGTAGGGATTGAGCCACGGCGATGTGTGAGACCCACCTGCAGTTCTTGATTTGAAGCTTTCGTGACTGCAAGGATCCATACTCTTTGGTTCTATTCGGTAAAGTCACGTAGGTAAAAAAATAAAATGACAAAAATCACGACGTTTCGGCCACAACACCTGATGAAGGCCACTTGTGCTGTGGCCGAAACGTCGTGATTTTTGTTATTTTATTTTTTTACCTACGTGACTTTACCGAATAGAACCAAAGAGTACCCACCTGCAGGTTTAAATAATAATGGTTGTCAATTTTTTTTTGTCTGGGGCGGGTCCTGCACCGGGGGAGTTTTGAGCAGTTCCTTATTAATGAGTCATGTATCTGCGATAATACAACAGTTGAAATATTAATAATTGTCAGCATTTTGTCAATTTGCTGCTGGGTCGAGGCCTCTCCTCCTCACCTTGCCGCTTGTCACCAGGCTTTTTTGTCCATTCGCTGGTCAGTGCGGGCTCACGCGAGTGTGGCCCTCGGGCCTGCTCAGGCGTCACTCGCCACTGATGTTAGCCGTGCCCAGGTATCGAACTCGGGTAGCCAGGCTCGCAGCGCAGCACGCGATCTTCAGCTCCGCTGGCTGACAAAAGCCTGCACCTGCAAGGGGGGTAATACTCAACAGGTGTGCTCGCCGCAGACCAGCTTGCTGTGCTGCCATCTCCAGCCACCTTTGGGTCCTCCCGTTTGCTTGTACGTTTGAGGAATTTGGACACTCCCTTGGCGGTCTGGCTATGCAGCTCATTTGACTGGTCAACCGCTCCTGCGCTCGTGTTTTTATTCGTTTTAGTCAGGCACAGCGTGCTTCAAGAGGTTGCTGAATCGGCCACTCCTCCACAAGTGTCAGATTCGTTCAGGAGGGAAGCCTTCACCATTCTCCCTCCCCTCAAGTCCCACCTAGCCCTGGCACACATACCGTGGCTATTGCTCCTCCTGCTCCTGTTGTGTGGAGTGGTGGCGCATTGCTTGAGTTGTGCCCGTTCGGGCTGAGGGCCGTCCGTATTCTTCGTCATGGCTCGACTCTGGCTTGCCCTCCAATGCGACTCGTCGCAGGCTTGAGCCACGGTGGCGAGATGTTTACTCCCTCGCCTGGTATACAGGAGGTCGGGGATTCGATTCCGACCCTGGCGCCTGCTGTATATTTTGAGTTTGCGTGTCTCTCTCTCCCTGTGGTGGCGTAGATTTTTATCCGGGTCCTCTGGTTTTTCCCTACACATTTAGAAACATGCGTAAAGAGTATTTGACTGCTGATATCAATTTCCACGTAATAAGCCACTTCAATTCTGATTTAAAGCTTTCGTGACTGCAAGGATTCATCTTCTTCTTCGAAAGAACCAAAGAAGAATAAGCCACTTCGTTGAGCTATCATTTGTGGCCAGGTTGCTTCTGAAAAGTACCTATATAGCTCCATCGGCCTTACCTGGTAAAACCTAAAATCTTAAAAAAAAGTTTAATTGCTTTGAGCTACGGCTCGCTTGAGCCAGAGGCAAGCCCGAGCCGAGACTTAAGGACACGGGCCCGAGAGTTGGCGACGCCTGCTTGCGCGCGTGTGTGTAGTGTAGCGGTTAGCGCGCTGCGCTATGAACCTGGCGACCCGGGTTCGATTCCCGCTCACGGCCAACACCAGTGACGATTATCTGAACCGGTCCCGGGCCTCCCCTAGGTCGACTCAGCCTCAAATGAGTACCTGGTGCGGTGTGTAAACATTGCCACTAGGGAGACAAAGGCGGTCGGGCGTGGTGGCTGGCCACCCACCCCCTCGTGTACCGTTTCCGGCCTTCATAGGTGCTCGCTAACAGCACTTGCCCCTACAGTCTGTTACAAGGCTACACGGGGGGATCTTTGTTTGTGCGTGCGTGTGTGTGTCCAGGTGTCGCTACGAAGGCTGCGACAAGGCGTTCATGCTCCCAAGCAGACGGACGGCGGCACGAGCAGGTTCACAGTGAAGAACGTAAGCGACCTGCCCGGGCCGGGGGGGGGGGGGGGGGGGGGGGGGGGGGGGGGGGGGGGGGGGGGGGGGGGGGGGGGGGGGGGGGGGGGGGGGGGGGGGGGGGGGGGGGGGGGGGGGGGGGGGGGGGGGGGGGGGGGGGGGGGTGGGTGGGGGGGGGGGGGGGGTGTTGGCGGATCACGCTGCACATTTGCTGCGCTTCTTTGCTCGCCTTTTTAAGAGCGCGCACCCACGCCAGTTGCGCGCAAGCCGCTGCGTTGGTTAACCTGCGTGCGTGCGTGCGTGGTGTGCGCGCCAGCGCCTAGCGCAGTTCCGCGTGCGTATTTGCCAGTGCGTATCCTTGTGCGTTCGTACACGTATGAGCTCGCGTTGCATTTTGCGTGCGCTTGCGTGCGTTACGCGCGCTCTAGTTCGCAAGCGCATGGGTGGAATTGTGCATTCGTGTTGCATTGAGTGCGTGTATGCGCGTGCGTTTACCCGCACGCCTGTGCATATATTTGTACATCCGTTGGCGTACGTGTGCATTTGCGCGCAAACGTGTGCGTGCACGCACAGATACGTGAGCATGTTGCTCTCCCGCAAACCCCGCCCGTGCGTGCCCGTGCGTGCAGCGCAGCACGTGTGCTCGGTGTGCGGGCACGGCTACCGGCGGATCGACATGCTGCGCAAGCACGAGTGGATCCACGCCGCCAATCGGCCCATGTTCCACTGCCTCGAGGCCGAGTGCGGCGCGCGCGTACACCACTCGTCCATGCTGCGCTACCACGTGCTGGCGCACCACCACGGCATGGGGCCCTACCAGTGCCAGGAGCCCGGCTGCTACAAGGCCTTCACCTCCAAGGTGAGCGAGACGCCGAGGGGACGAGCGTAGCTGACGATTGATGGTGATGGTGGTGACGTTGACGGTTTGCGGATGGTGGCGATAATGGCTGTGGTGGTGACGATGGCGTTGTTGGTGGTTGCGATCCGGAGTCCGAGACCAGGAAAAGTGCCGGGGCGGAGATGATCACCCAAGCGAACTGCTGAGGGGGGAGGGTGGTGTCTGTGTTCAGACTGTCCTACATGACATCATCACAACTGCCTGGACCACAGGACGGGTTCCACAGGATTGGAAGGGTGGCCTGGTGTGCAGTCTGCACAGATTCTAACAACTATAGGGGCATCTCCCTCCTCAGCGTTCCGGGAAAGGTCCTGGCAAGGATTATTCAATATCGCCTTACCAGGCACGCTGAGGAGCGGCTTGCGAAGTCCCAATGTGGTTTCACGCCAGGGCGGTCCTGGACGAATGCCATATTCTCCGTCCGTTTGCTACGACAGAGCTTGAAGGAATTTCAAAGAGGCATACATCTCCGTTTTATTGACCTGGTCAAGGCCTATGATACCATTAGTAGACCAGGGCTTTGGGATATTCTTTGTGCTTTCGGGGGCCCTGATTCTATCCTTCCAATCATTAAGGACCTTCATTGATGATGGTGGGCAGGCCGAGGTAAAATTGTGTCGCTGGGCATTGGAGCCATTCCCTCTTCACGTTAGGGTGCGACAGGGATGTCCTCTGGATCCCATGTTATTTAACATCATCTTTGACCACGTAGCTCAAAGCTTTCCATGACTATACCAGTGAAATTTCTATCTGGTACAGATTCTATGGGAGGCTGATCAATGCCTGAGTGCAGTCAAGGGATGGCTTCAAACTGGTCAACCATGTTATGTACGCTGACGCTGACTCAGAGAAGGAATTGGAGGTTCTGCTACTGAATCTGGAGCTGTCATTAAGAGATGGGGCCTTACCATCATCAGCTCTGCCAAAACTACACCCCCTCAACTCCCCATGAGTGATGGGACAGTTGTGGAGAAAGTGGATAATTTCCGTACCGGATAGTGTGCTCGTGACCAGCTCTGGTTGGGCAGCAGAGGTCTCGCTCCGAATCAGCCGAGCCGCATTATCCTTTTTTGTAAGCTGCGTAACGCTGTGTGGAAGCTACCTGGTCTGTGCTCCACACGAAGCTTCAGGTCTTCTCGGAAACAGTCATGCCCTCCCTTCTCTATGCTTTCGAAACATGGACCCCTATCTGATGGAACATCTTTGCCGGTGAGAATCATTCAGGCTGGCCTGCCTACGATCCATCCAGGGTGTAACCAGGCTGGATTGTGTGAGTCTCGCAAATCCTAGAAGAGCTGGACATATTCCTATCGGTTAAGCTTGTCCGGCAGGCAAAACTGTTGGCTGTGGTCCTGTAGGCCACATGCCCAGCCACCGCATGTCCAAGCAGCTTCTGTTTGGCCAGATAGAGGGAGCTAAATGAGCATGGGCATGGGCTGGAGAAGAAATTGACTGATGCAGTACCAGGGGGATGTGGAGCTGAGCGTATGCTTGCTGAAGAGTGTTACCAGCGATGTCAAGATCAGCCTTTTTGGAGGAGGCTCGTGAAGGATGCTGCTGGACAGTTGAAGGCAGTCGCCCCTCCAACCAATAGCGGAGGGTAGAGGAGCGACGCTCACACCAACGAGCGGAGTTGCCGGACGACTAAAATGCAGCAAGTTGGCGCAGTGAGGGGCACAGTCGGTGCATCTGCCAGTCATCTCGTTCAGTCAACCCATGGCACCTGGGTCGTCCCGTGACCTTCAGTCAGCGAGCTTTTCGGTATTCACTTTACGTGGCCTTGGAGTGCACCTGGCCTGTCACAAGCGCAGTGGTGACATCGATGCCACTTAATGGTGATTGGCTGCTGTAGTTGTTGGTGAGTAATGATAGTGGTGATGTTGATGGTTGTGAAGATGGTGATCATGTTGATGACGGTAGGTGGTGAAGATAGTAATTTTGGTGATGGGTGATAGTGGTGGTGATGGTAATAATGATGATGTTCATGATGTGTTTCTTCAATTTTCTTACAGCAAAAGCTCACAAAGCATCGCTCGGACACATGAACCGCCAAAAGCAAAAGTCAAAGAGGTGACTTATTTAACTTTTTGCTCAAACGATAAATTTGAATGCCAAGTTAACACGGGGGGGTCATTGAGACGACAGACATTTGACAGCCACCGAGGGATTGGTGACCAAGGGGAAACCCTAAACTGAGATCAGAATCTGTACATTTGTTTATACTAGAGGAATCCGATGAGCTTATCAAGCTGTCCGGTAGGGGCACGGGGTCAGAACGTTACGTGGTGGGGGACTGCACGAGCCGACCTCGGGAGTACAGGGTCCGCTTGCGAACGGCGGCGAGGTTGTTAATCGGGTCGACAGCGCTGATTGCGACGACCTCTTGGTCTCATTCTCCGCAGGTCGAAAAGGAGGCAAAGGATTCGTTGGACCTCCCAGCTGAGCGGAATATTACCTGCGAAGGGCGGCGGCGACGTCTCGCCGATTGGAACCCATACGCGGCGCACGATCCCACCCGACTGCAGCACGCCGGTTACGGCGTGGCCAACACACCGCCCTCTCTCAGCAGCTGAGCTTTCCTGCTGCGGAGGCCGTTTTTTTTTTTTTTAAAGATGTGCCTCTCTTAATCCACACTAAAATTGAAAAGGTGCTTTTGGCTGACCTTACAAAGGCACCGTGGGGGGGAGGGGGGGTGGTGGGGGGTGTGTGTGGGGAGAAAATAACCCCCACAGTGCCTTGCAAGCGGCCCTGAGAGCACGCTCGTGTACATACAATGCACACCGCGCTTTGAGACGCCGGCTTGAAGACGGCTGTTAGCGTGTGGCATCGTTACATTTCACAGCGGTTAGGCAGCGTGGTAATTTTTGTACAAATGACATTGCTGTTGTTATTGTTATTAGGGATCGTCAGAACTGTATAGCCCTGCTGCTCTGCTTACCAAGCGGTTTGTAATAAAGAAACAATCCACTTGGTCATCTGGAGCTTTGTAAAATTCCTGCTTTGTAAAAGCAAAAAAATATGGCACAGTCTAAATGCCGGCTGGAGTACACACGACAGTGTTCTGTAGCCAACGAGAATCTCGATCATTGCGAAAAAGAGGACGTTTCTTGGCATTTGCGGATTATTTTGGCAGGAGGAAATGTTTGAGGTTTTAAAAGTGGACACTACAGTTTAATTTTGAGGCGAGTCATTGTGGTTGCATTCGTAAGTGACGTAAGTGACGTATGTACGGGTGTCCCGGGTCTCTAGTCGCCGCACCCATGCTGTGGACCCACACGTGCACTAACAAAGACGGATCGGTTGAGTATCATTGCAGGCCTTTCGGGCAAGTGCTGTTTGCGAACACCTATTAAGGTCGGCACGGCACACATTTTTGGATGTGTGGCGAGCCGTGCACCTAGCCACCTTTGTTAACGCCGGTGCTGTTATTTTGACGCGCCGCATCGCACTCATTGAAGGCCAGTGGAACTAGTGGAGGCCCAAGTGCGAGTTCGGTCGCACACCACGTGCCACTTGATATAAGCCATGGCCGGTAATCAAACACAAATATCTGGGAGGATAGGACAGAGCTGTCTCCACCACTCCCCACGCGTTGCATAACTTTTGGTTTTGTAACAATGACGAAGATCCCCTGTATCGCCTTAACGAATTGCGTGGGGGCAAGTGCCGTTTGCGAGCACCTCTGAAGGCCGGTACGGCACATGATGGGGCGTTGTGGCCAGAACCACGCCCGGACACCTTTGTCTCCGATTGGTGATGTTTACACACCGCACCAGGTACTCAATTGAGGCTGAGTCGACCTAGGGAGACCCATGACCGGTGTTGGCCATGAGCGGGAATCGAACTTGGGTCGCCGGGTTCGTAGCACAGTGCGTTTGCAGCTACACTACCACTCCTGTAACTCGTAAATATATACAAACATTAAATCCAACATTAGCCTGACACTTAATAAACATTCGCCTTAAAGAGTTGACCTTTGAGGTTGCATGTCGACTGCACAGCACTTGCGCGGAATAGCAAATCGAAGGAGGTGAAGGCGTTGACCGTAATGGTTTTTTCACCTCTTTACCTAACATTTTAGTTGGCATGACCTTGTGTGTTTTTTTAGAACTTTTGTTTTTTATGAAAGTTGACCTCCCCTTAAATGCGTGTGTATGTGCGTGTGCACGTGGGTGTATGCAAGCATACCAAACGGTGATTAACTGAAACATGTATTTATACTGGAGGAATCTGATTTGGTATCTGGCTATTTTTCACAGATTTCTAACAGAGCATCATACAGACATGCTGGTTAAAGCCCTATAGACCTACTTGACTCCAGTGCAAACGCCTCAAGACAACCCAGGAGTTTCGATTTAAAGCTTTGGTGACTGCAGGGATTCATATTCTTGGTTCTTTCGGTAAAGTCACCACGTAGAAGGGAAATAATAAAAATAAAACATAGAAAAATTATTTTATTTTTATTATTTTGTTATTTCCCTTCTACGTGACTTTACCGAAAGAACCAAGAATATAACAACCCAAGAGGTTACCCAGTGGCCCAGAGTTCAGAGTATTTAACAGGCTCCGCTGAATCCAGGTAACCACGTATTGATGATCTCACGGCACAGTCACCATTGCGTTGCGTTTGGTTTCGCACTTGATTTGAGTAAATTCCAACTCCACTATCGGTTTGACTGCCCTGTGACAATCCTATAGGAGAGCTTGTAGGAAGTCGTCCACCTGGGAAAAAATCGCTTCTGAAGGCTGCTTGATACACAGGGCAGAGTGTTCTGAGATTTGTAGAGGGGTTCGTTTTCATGACGTCACACCAATTGCGGTTGGAAGGCGTGCATTAACATACAACATTCCATTAAATAAGACGAGCTGGTATTTTTCAGGTGACATTACAGACTACAAAAATAACGCAGCTGAGCTGTCACTATGCGAATACTCTCATGTCCTTAGAGACTTTTTTTTTACTCAATAGCAAACCTTTCATTTGTTGTCACAGCCCAGGACACACCCCGATTATGTAAATGTATAAATAAAAACCGAGCTGGGGGATGTGCCAGAAGCTTGGCTGTCGTCGTAATGTCTGACGGGGTGTCACCCTTGGTATTTGTGTTTTGACCCGCAGCATTCAACATTGGTGCTGCGCGTGTGCTTGCAAATGATCAGTGCTGGTGTTCGTTTCACCGATGTGATGGAGGGCCGAAAATTAAGTATTGTACTCGACGAGATCGTCCAACGACGGGCCTCCATCTCGCCTCTCGTCTTACTCCCCTCCATGCACTCCTCAAAGCAACCGGGACATTTTGTTGAGTTCACCAATCAACCCAGATTCGGTGGGAGGTCACTCGTTCTCTTCTGCTGCCCCCATTGTCTGGAACTTCCTTCCCCCAGCCATATTTGCTGTCGACTCATCTCCCTTATTCTCGTCAAGACCTTTGAGGCCCTCTGCCGATGACCGACTGCCTCACGGCGAAATACATCTTTGTGCTGTGTCTGTACGGTGTCTTGAGATGCGGTCACATTTTTAGATGTATAAATCCACAGTGTATTGTATTACACTGCATACATACGTACATGTATTGTCAGCATACATGTGGTTATAATGTAGCTCAGTTTGACGAGCAGCAGACCTTCCCAGTCGTAAGGTGATTTCAAATCCTGGCAAAGGCAAACTCTGCCCATCGTCATCATTCGTCGTCCTTCCACGGAAGGGTAAAATGGTCGTGAGTCGCCAACGGTTGTATTGAAGTCCATTCTGATCCCTGCCATATTGAACGTGGAGTTTTCACTACTGGCTGCGAACTGTAATTAATGATGTGCATTTTGCAAGGCACTTATTTGAGCAAGGGGACATTGACTTTGACACTGATGCCCAACGCATGAGGAACGGTCACGATGTTTTGAGAAGCGCGGTATTTGGTTTAAAAAAAAATCAACCAACCAAAACCATCACAGTCTCATTATGCGCAGAGTATATTTATTTCATAACGTGCATTAACTAAGTGACACGAAGGTGGTGCGGTTGGTACGACGGTGGCACGGTGGTTTCGCCCGGATTGTTGTGAGCCCAGCGACTTGAGTTCCGTTCCGAGCCACAGCTATAACGTCGGTGGTGAATTATATCCAAGTCAGTCCTTGGCCCCACTGCAACCCGCACTGACCAGCATGGTGAGGTATAAATTTTGATTTAAAGCTTTCGTGACTGCAAGGATTCATCCTCTTTGGTTATTTCGGTAAAGTCACGTAGAATGAGAATAAAATAATAAATTGATAAAATAAAATAACACGATAAAATTCTCACGACGTTTCGGCCACAACACAAGCGGCCTTCATCAGGTGAAGGGACGAGACTGTCTGGAGGACAGCGCTGGAGCGAACAAAGCCATGCTCAGATCGCGACCTTTAAGCTGTGTGAGAAGAAACAAAGCACCTTGAAAAAGGAATTAGCATAGAATTTAGCATTGGAATAGCTGAGTGATTAGCTTGTGACTGGTCACAGAAATGGCTATGTTAAAGTTAAAGCATACATATCCGCAGAGGCGCCCCTTGACAAAGGAATTAGCATAGAATTTAGCATTGATATAGCTGAGTGATTAGCTTGTGACTGGTCACATAAATGGCTATGTTAAAGTTAAAGCATACACATCCGCTTTAACTTTAACATAGCCATTTCTGTGACCAGTCACAAGCTAATCACTCAGCTATTTCAATGCTAAATTCTATGCTAATTCCTTTGTCAAGGCGCTTTGTTTCTTCTCACACAGCTTAAAGGTCGCGATCTGAGCGTGGCTTTTTCGCTCCAGCGCTGTCCTCCAGACAGTCTCGTCCCTTCACCTGATGAAGGCCGCTTGTGTTGTGGCCGAAACGTCGTGAGAATTTTATCGTGTTATTTTATTTTATCCATTTATTATTTTATTCTCATTCTACGTGACTTTACCGAAAGAACCAAAGAAGATGGTGAGGTATGTTTTAAAAAAACAACCTCCATGACCGACCCAGCGTGGGAGACCATCCAGCAATGGATTGAAAAGGCCAGTAAATTATTAAGTTGAAATACTTAATAATTTGAAATACTTAATCATTTGAAAAGCTTAATAATTTACCGAAATGCCATACAGACACGTACGTTGGCTTGAACTCAAGCTGCTCTCAAAGCCTCTGGACTTCTTGTACGGGGTACATTTTTTCGTACAAGGCACCACATTTACAAATCAATGTATAAGTTTGGAATAGCACGGTCATGTGTGGAAGATGTAAAATTGAACCGGGACGGTATTACGAACGTGTTGTTCAAGAACATGCTTTACAATGTATCGGAGATGTTGAAGGAATAATTTGAATGCAACAATGCGAACAAAAAATAATCCAGTCCGGGTTTTACGAACTGCTTGCTAAACATCAATGCTCGAAGCTTTTAAGAGTGAACTGCACATGATGGTATTTTGGAAAACCAGAAAATAACTCGTTGATGGCATTTTTGTGTTCGGAAACAATAGGCTTGGAAGCTGTTTTTTTTTAAATTACAATTTGCTCAAATATGCTAGTGTTATCAGAGTTTTAAGAATAAAGATTCGCTCAATTCACGTGAAAAGACGTCCGAGTTCTGTTCGCGATTGCCGGATGTCAGCTCATGGACTTTGTCACGGGATGGGAATCGTGAAGTCCACACAATGTCGCTCACCGCCTGTCAGTGTGATGCCTGTTGCAGCGGAGGCCTTAGAGTGTTTCTCCATGCCATGTGTGGTCTATTCTCCTCTGTGCCTTTCCTCGCACACGAAAAATACTCGAAGGATTTGGCGAAACATATCTTCCTGAAGACGATTGCGTACAGTACTGGCACTCGATGATGCCTTGTGGGCTGCATCAGTCGGGTTACCACTTCTGGTTTTCCCAGAATCGTCTGTTTTTTTATTTTTTGAAGCAGCTATACAGCTCAGTGGGCCTGACCTATTCTTTGGGTCTTTCGGGAAAGTCACGTAGATAGAACAATAAAATAATAAAAATTAAACTAAAATGAATAAAAATATAAAAAATGAAAATAAAGTGAATAAAAAAGAAATGAAATGTTTATTATTTTTAATCACTTTATTTTCATTTTTATTATTTTATTGTTCTCTGAAAATGAAGTGAATAAAAATGATAACATTTTCTTATTTTTGTTCACTTTATTTTTATTATTTTATTGTTCTATCCACGTGACTTTACCGAAAGACCCAAGGAATATGAATTCCTGCAGTCACGAAAGCTTTAAGTCAAGATTTGGCCTTACCTAGTAAAATAAAACAAAAATACTTTAATAATTTACAGATTAATAGTTTACATACCTGCGAACCCCTTATCAGTGCCTACCGTATTGCAGAACAATTCAGACCTTATTGGTCACCCCGTGCCACTTATAAATCTCAACGTTCATCCTACAAAGTCCCATCACAAGGGAGAAACACCAACAAATAGAATATCACCACAACTACACTCTCTACGAGTACACTCACAACAACATACCTCAGTGCCTGCTTTATCACAGACCAATTCAGACCTTATTGGTCACCCCGTGTCCATTATAAATCTCAACGTTCTTCTGACACAAACAATGATGGGTTTTGTTTTGCCCGTATTGAAACGGCTGTACGCCGTATGGACCTGAAAACTCAATGTTCCCCGTGCAAGAATACGGGTTGACGTCTGTGAGTTAAGAACACTCAGCTCAGTGACTCGCTCTCTCTGTTCGAGTGAACTTTTACTGGTAGGAACGAAGTTGTAAACTGAGTGTACCAGCCTGCAATAGATTAATGTGTCCGTCCGTCCGTCCCCTTTCAATACTTTAACGAAGTGAAAAATTCCAATGTTCCTACCAGCCCACCCTGCAGGGACCTGTTAAAAGCTTCAAATCAAGATTGAACTTTTAAAACGTTCACTCGAGAATGAGGTCACAAAGCCATGGGCGTGGCTTTAATGGATGACGTCGCGGCGCGGGACGTCACGTCCGGGTGCGACGTCATTAGTTCGCGCGCTCCGTGCGCGTTTGCCTGTACCGAGGGCGGGTGGTGATTTTTTTCCCCCCCTTTCACCCAAAAGTTCTTCAAACAAAACAACTCAGAAGGCACGCGTGCTTTTTAATTTATAATATTCTTTATTTTATATTTATACACATACGTATAGTTTTAATTTAACATCGTAGAAGGCGCGCGCGATTCGACGCTCGCGAGAAGTCGTGTTCACCACGCGTAGGCCCCAATCGCCACAAGGCCCTCCGCGCAGCCTCACGTTGTGCCTGGAAGCTCTACCGTGGGGATGGCCGCGGAGGTGGGGGACGCGGCAGGCGACGCCGTAGGCTTGGGCGGGGAGGACGAAGAGCAATGGTTATATGGAGGTTTGTTTATTTACATTAATTTAAACGCGCGTGGTTTTTTGAGCTTGCTCAAGCTTCGCTTACGTCGTCTTTTGCCCTGTTAAAATAGGGTAAATTCGGAATGTGCGAACAGTGTTTGAGGGTTGGTGGTAGTAGGTGTCTTGGAGTTGAGACGATTTGTTACGGAGGATAGTTCCGTTTCGTAACTTGCCCCTGCTATTCTTGATTTGAAGCTTTCGTGACTGCAGGAATCTATACTCTCTGGTTCTTTCGGTAAAGTCACGTAGTAGGTAGTAAAATAAACTTGCCCCTGCTAACTTACACGGGGGGGGGGGGGAATCCGTTGTGCGTGATTACAGCAGCAGCAGCAACTACCAACACAGGTGTTGCTGTACTAGTAACGAATTGGCATGTTCCGTTTACGTGACACCTTACTAATTACTCTTACTAATTGGCTGTGTCGGGTGGTGGCGGGTTTAACGACACATTTACGCAATCTCACTGCCAACTTCCCCCCCCCCCCCAAAAAAAAAAATAAACCCCTGTACTTTGGACAAAAAAATTGGATTTTAAGAACTTGACTTCCCCGTGTTGCACAAAACGTCAAAAATATCTCCAAATTTCGTTATTAACGCTTGCCGTGTTAGAGGCTGAAAGTGACCTTTCCAGGCAGATGGGGCAGAGAGTTTGCGTAATACGGTAATTTTAAATCTCCAACTTTCTCGATACATATAATGATGACAAAAAAGCAAATGAATTTACAATTACGTTGTGGTTGCAATTCATTATGATTGACAAATTAGAATATACCGCAGACCTGGTAAATTTCGACCTTTGGCTTAGATCAACATATTAACTAGCTCAATATCCTGAATATTTAATAATGAATAACAAAGTTGTCGGGATTTTGTTATCGCTTGTGGTTTTTTTTACTTGGTTTTTACCTCTAGTAATTTGCTTCACTGTATTGTGCTAATAGCGAAAGCCAATTGTTTTAAATATTGTTATTAAGTATTGCTTTGCAACAACCATGAATCATAAAGGTTGTAAATGTATACATTTTCGTCAATAAAACCCGGTGCACATTTGTTTACAGTGTGTCGCTGGAATGAATAGTCTTCAGGTTTTTGGAATAAAACATTTGCTGCATATACATTTTGATCGTACGCGTGTCATTCTTAATATGTATTAGGTTCAAACATTATTTGTATTTTTTCTCGTTTCAATAAACAAGGCACCTAACTAGGGGAGTGAACAAAGCGGTTCTTACATTTAAGTTTTTTTTACAGAACATTTTTAAAGGCAGTTTGTTGGCATAATACAAACTGCCAAATTCGTCATTTGTTTAACGTCCACGTGTTTTAGAACGAGATATTAAAATGTTAAAATGAAAACAGGCCATACGTGATTGTCGAAGGATTGTGGTCATCGTGAAAGAGACACGAAGTCTTTTGACTACCAAAGCGTCCTTGTGCACTCTTAAGGACAAAAATATAGGAGGGCAAAATGCGTTTGAAAGTGTAGGTTACACATCCCTAAAGAAAAACAAGTAAAATGTATTTTTTCCGCTTGTTATTTCCTTGCGCTAAGACAATGATAAAAAAACTCGCTGTTAAATAAAGGACAATAATTAAAGTGTACGCATATAAACATTGCATATGTATGCATCTGTTTCCAAACATGTCGAAAAATGTATCCTGGAAATTAAGATAAGGCACTGAAGTGTATTTTGTGTTTTAATGTGTTTTGGGTTAACATAGCGGCCTAAATATTTGGAAGAATCACCTAATCAGTACACGTGAACATACCTGCCCGCTGTTCTTGTCTGTGAGTCTTTCATAAAAAAGCCCCTCCGTTTTATTTTATCACACTGCATTTCACATTTTATTTCAGATGAAGATGCCACTGACAAAGCGGAGGGTGAACCTGCGACTGTTGGGTAGGTGCACATCACTCAGAGTCAAAGACATCGACACTGCCCAATGAGGTGGGGGGGAGGGGCGTTGGGGGCCTTATCCATCATGAGGAAAGTAGGGCAAATGAAAATTCAATAATTAAATTGTTGCACGGATGCTGCATTTAAATTGCATTTCTGCAATGCCTAACATTTAATTAACAATGAGTTCATATTTACAATTGTACAATGTACGTGAAGATCACTGCTGGTCATTTATCATTCCCGTGAGACAAGTTGGAAGGCTTGGGCTCACTGAATGTGGAAGGCCGAAGGATTTTGCGGATGGTCTTGAAGAATTCTGTATGTTTGTAAAGTTTATATTCTTAGTTTTTTCGGTAAAGTCACGTTGAAGGGAAACAACAAAATAATAAAATATATAAAACAAGCACAGAGACAATTTCAACCGAGAAGATAGATTCTATCTTAGCAATCATTGGAAAGATTTGATAAACCATTTCAGGTCTTAATTGATTGTTCACGCTTACAGTGGCTTTCAGACAGCATACATTATAAAAAATTTCGTCTCCCCCCTCCTCTTTTCAGAATATAGATGGACTAGTCCTAAATAAACTGCCAAATCGTTGCGCGTGGTGCTAACGTTTTTTTATAAATAAATAAATGCGCCGTTTAAAAATAAATTTATGCAAACCAACACACCTGAAGACGACCGTTTGAGTTATGGTCGAAACGTGAGAATTTTTTTTATTGTTTTATATATATTTTATTATTTTGTTGTTTCCCTTCAACGTGACTTTACCGAAAAAACTAAGTATATGAATTACTGCAGTCACGAAATCTTTAAATCAAAATTTGTAAAGTTTGTTACTAAAAATTAGGACAGAGCAGCACGTGGTTGAGTGAGATGTCCAAGGGAGCAGGCTCATTGTATTTTCTATCATTTGGGCTGTTGATGGCATTCCTATCACGTTTGTTAACATTGGTATTCGATCCGAATGAAATAAGTACACTTTTTCCAAGCATTTTAAATAAATGTCATTGATTTAGAAGAATAACGTACAGGCCATGTGATTGATTAATTTGGGTTGACTGCAAAACGCCATGTTCTATTGTACATAGCTTTATTAGCAAGTGCACAGTGTTCCGGTCAGAGTATTTTTTTAAGATTCCCCCCCCCCCCTTATATTTGGGTAGCCTTTCTGGCTTACCCAGAATTCTGGCTTACTCGGGCACCACTTCAAGAGGTTTTAATGTTCGAACAATTGTGCACTGTGACCTTGCAGTAGGCCTTGAAATCCCATGGATTTAATAGCCATTGGAGAGACTTTTCAATGCACAACAACTCTTTACAATGATTCCATTACATAGCAATGTTTGGTTAGAAGCTATTAACATGTTGTACATTGCCTGTTGTAGAATGTATGAAATTGACCATTATCCCAATGTATTTGCCTCTGAGGCTGCATTGGGAAAAAAACGACATCTCATGACTGCGCAGTGAGCACATTTCAAACGCACTCAGTTTTTTCACACTTCCACCATGGTATTCCAGTTGTGTTGTTGGCAACATATGAGACAAAGATGTATCTATTTGAAATTCACACAGTGCATCGTGATGGTGAATTAAAGAATGGCCCATGGAAGGAAACATCACAAGTGACAAGTTGTGTTGCACTTTCACTTTTACACACGTCCTGCTGTTGATGTTTCTCGCATTGCAGTTAATACAAAATATTTCGAATTTTCAGAGATGGCACTTTTACAAATCGGGTATTTGGCTACCAGACTAAAACCATAATTTCCACTCTTGAGAACCCACTTGACTTAGGAGTGGCTGAACCACATTCGAACCCAGGATCTTGTCATTGCTGGCTAACTGCTCTGAACACTGAACCACCCAGCTTAATCTTAAAGCTAGGGGAGTACGGATACATAATTAAATTTTGATTCTTATCGCTCGCAATACATATGTCAAATCAGGTGTAATTTTTGTTGCAATGTGTATATATGATGGACTGTGTTCATCCACTGGAGACCTCAATATTTTATTCTCAATGTAAAGAAAATAATTGCTTCATGAATCATGCCCTGACGATTAATTGAATTGCAGGAGGTATAAATTGTTACACCTATAATTTGTAATAGTTTAAAACATGTCCGAATGACCGACGCAGCTAATTGCAAACACATGGTTTATGCTTTCCATATTTGGTAAATAATGTGTGTGGTTTATAACACCTACATTCATAACCCTGCCTTGCTTGTATAGCCTTCCAAGTCTCCATGAGAGTTGGGACTTCACAATTTAAATTATTTTCTTAAAAAGCGATCACAATTTAGTACTGTGGCTGAATGGTAATGAAATCAGAGGCTGGTAGTCTTTTAGTGGAGTTCAAATGGTAATGTGGTGGGCAGCCGAGGGACCTGCAGCTATATCTATTGGACGGTGCTTTTTATGCTCCAGCGTCTTCAGCAGCCCACATTGATCAGCTATGTCAAGTCTGTTCAAGTAACCCCATGACCGGCAAGGCGTGAGGAAGGGCCTCATCCAGCAGTAGGCTGACAAAAGAGCTGGACATGTAAAACATTATAGCGGATAACAGAGTCAGATGCTGACATGACAACATTGAATTTTGATTTAAAGCTTTCGTGACTGCAGTAATTCATATTCTTAGCTCTTTCGGTAAAGTCACGTTGAAGGGAAACAAAATAATAAAATATTTATAAAACAATAAAAAGTCTCACGACGTTTTGACCATAACACAAACGGTCATCATCAGGTGTGAAAACCAACGGCAAGAAACATTTGAAAGAAGTGGCGGTTTGCATTTATTTATTTTTAAACGGTGTTTGTATTTATTTATTTTTAAAAAACGTTAGCACCACGGGCAGCGATTTGGCAGTTTGTTTAGAAGGACGAGTCCTTCTATGTTTTGAAAAGAGGAGGGGGGAGACGAAAAATTAATGTATGCTGTCTGAAAGTCACCGTAAGCGTGAACAGTCAATTAAGACCTGAAATGGTTTATCAAATCCTTCCAATGATTGCTAAGCCAGAATCCATCTTCTCGGTTGAAATTGTCTCTGTGCTTGTATATGTGGATAGCCTCATGAACGAATCTCTCATGGTAGCCAGATGGCTTACAAATAACCTCTGTCTTGGAGAAGTCAATGTCATGTGAGCCTACTGAATTATAACAATGATCTGCCACGGCCGAGGTGTTGGTCCTACCGTGTTTAAGGTCTGCTTTGTGTTCACGAATGCGGTCTGAGACATGGCGTCTGGTTTCTCCAATGTAACTACTACCACAGAGGCAACTTAGTTTGTAGACACCAGGGTATTGTATGTACGCAATCACATCTTTTACAGACGGAACCAGATCACGGATTTCATGTCATGTGTTGAAACGGACCTGGATCTTGTGTTTATTCAAGATTTTGGAGATCGTTTTTGTGATCCCCGCTATGTAGGGTAAAGTGATGGTTTTGAAAGGCTCCTCAAGAGGGTCCTTCTTCATTGTTTGAGTGATAGCTTTGCGGATTGTATAGTCGGAGTAACCATAAGCCTTAAGAGCTGCCAGGCCACCCAAGATTATACGGCTTACCAAAAATACATAAAGTAGATACACCCTTCGTCCCATCGTCTCCACTATCAACTCCCCCCACCTACAAACTGGCTCGTTTTTTGTCTGAAATCCTGCGTCCTTTCACTGGAAAAACCACCTCTGCGGTACAAATTCTACTCAACTGTATCGACAATCAAGGGTATTTCCCTGTCCCCAGATGACCTGCTTGTCAGTTTTGATGTACGCAGGATTTCAGACAAAAAACGAGCCAGTTTGTAGGTGGGGGAGTTGATAGTAGAGACGATGGGATGAAGGGGTGTATCTACTTTATGTATTTTTGGTAAGCCGTATAATCTTGGTGGCCTGGCAGCTCTTAAGGCTAATGGTTACTCCGACTATACAATCCGCAAAGCTATCACTCAAACCATGAAGAAGGACCCTCTTGAGGAGCCTTTCAAAACCATCACTTTACCCTACATTGCGGGGATCACAAAAACGATCTCCAAAATCTTGAATAAACACAAGATCCAGGTCCGTTTCAACACATTACATAAAATCCGTGATCTGGTTCCATCTGTAAAAGATGTGATTCCGGACATACAGTACCCTGGTGTCTACAAACTAAGTTGCCTCTGTGGTAGTTAGTTACATTGGAGAAACCAAACGCCATGTCTCGGACCGCATTCGTGAACACAAAGCAGACCTTAAACACGGTAGAACCAACACGTCGGCCGTGGCAGATCATTGTTATAATTCAGTAGGCTCACATGACATTGACTTCTCCAAGAGAGGTTCTTTGTAAGCCATCTGGCTACCATGAGAGATTCGTTCATGAGGCTATCCACATATACAAGCACAGACAATTTCAACCGAGAAGATGGATTCTGGCTTAGCAATCATTGGTAAGATTTGATAAACCATTTCAGGTCTTAATTGATTGTTCACGCTTACGGTGGCTTTCAGACAGCATACATTAATTTTTCGTCTCCCCCCTCCTATTTTCAGAACATAGATGGACTCGTCCTTCTAAACAAATTGCCAAATCGCTGCCCGTGGCGCCAACGTCTAAAAATAAATAAATAAATACAAACACCGTTTAAAAATAGATAAATGCAAACCTCCACTTCATTCAAATGTTTCTTGCCGTTGGTTTTCACACCTGATGATGACCGTTTGTGTTATGGTCGAAACGTCGTGAGAATTTTTATTGTTTTATAAATATTTTATTATTTGATTGTTTCCCTTCAACGTGACTTTACCGAAAGAGCTAAGAATATGACAACATTGATTTATTTCTGTAACATTGCAGGCCGAGAATTGTTTTTTGGCTTGCGTTCAAATCCGCGATAGATACTGTCGGGCAAGTGCTGCCAAATGGAAACCTCTCAAGGCTGGCATAGCAGTCAAGAGAGTGATGTAAATGTAGACAGATCCACACACACCCAGCCCTCTTCCCCCAGTGGTGATGTTCACATCTTTACCGCGTGTTTTATTTTCAGCCTCTTGACATAGAGGAGGCTCAGACCTGGTGTAGATTCCAATTCCGCCTTGCGTTGTTCATGGTCAGAAAGTAAACCTGGGTCAGCGGGGCTTTATTGCATAGTACGCCAACTACCAGGTTAGTAGCACCCACTGCTGTTCACCACTCGGCCGCGGTGATAACACCACGGCGCTTGTGCTAAATTAGCTCGACTCTGTCAGGAGGGTCCTTCATTGAGGTGTTTGGCCAGTTCCATTAATCGGTGACTTCATGTGGGAGGAGACCGGGGTATCCTGCGAAAGTCACGCATACGAGTGGATAACGCTCAAAGCTTTGCATAGGTATTGAAGAATCCATTGCTGTAGGGCCATGGTCCTCCCATCCAGCACAAAGATCCCGTTTGGCCAAGTGTTGCGAGCGAACACCTATTAAGTCCGGCATGGCGGTTGTGTGGCCAGCAACGTGCCTAGGCCTCCTTTGTCTCCCCGCTGCTTGTTTTTACACACGGCACCAGATACTCGTTTAAGTCTGACATTACGTTGGTGGAGGCCCAGGACCGGATCGGATCGCCGCAACTGATGCGAGCCGTGGCTGGAAAAGGGAACTCGCGTCGCCCGGATCTGTGGTGCGCTAATAGCTGCACCGCCGCTCCTCGAACATGCCCGTGTTTGCACGTGCTCGGAGGCGGTGGGTGCAGCTCACGGATTTCTCCAGGATAAATCAAGACTCTGATTCCGATAGCGCGGCGGTTCTTGAAGCGGCGTGCGTCGCGGCTCTCCGTTTTTTTCTTCCAGGCCGCCCGCGGACGTGCCCGCGGCCGCCGCCGACGACAAAGGCGGCGACCTCCCTTTGAACGGCAACGCCGACGAAACCAACGGCGATGGCACCGAGGCCGCTCCCGCTCCGGTTTGTCTCTCGCTCTGGTTCGCAGCCGAACGGGCCAAAGGGGTGGGGGGAAGACCACGGGTACAGAGAGTAGACACATGGGCGTTAGTTAATTGGTGGGAGGGTTTGTGGAACCGACTGCATTATCGCCATGGGTAACATTGGTTGGAAAGCCATTAGGTTTTATGGCTTAAAACGATTTTGCTTGTATGAAGAGACGACATATGTTCTGCTTGTGTATGCTTTTAAACTCGAGTTGGCAAAAACAAAATGCTAAATTGAGTTCCTCAATAATTGAACTTGCAACGTTCCGTCTGCGAGTCCCGGGCTCTAACCACAGTACAACCTCAGCAGACCCTATCATCTTAATAAATAATAAATTCTTCATTATTTTATTACTTCCCTTCTACGTGACTTTACCGAAAGAACCAAGAAGATGAATCCCTGCAGTCACGAAAGCTTTAAATCGAAATCAGACCGTATTACTTGAAACTTTTTTGGTTTGTTAATTGACATTACAAATGTTAAGATCGCGCTTGCAGCCATCAGACGTGCACATGCCTACGTCTCCCCCTCGCCATTCTCACTCCGCTTCCCTTCTGGAACTCTCCACTCCAGCGTTCTGTCGAAGCTCCCAGTCAACTTTTGCTCAGTGGGAAGTCGCTCCTTCTGTTCGTGTGTATGTTGAACTTCTTTCGCACCGTATGTCGCCAACCGTGCTAATCGGAGTGCAAAGTATAGGGAAGGTAAGCAATTAAAAAAAAATTGACAACTATTTTTTATTTTACTTTGTCAAGCCCACTGAGCTATTGGCTTCTTTTGCCGAAGCGACCTGGCCACAAATTACATCTCAAAGAAAGTGGCTAATCAGAGGTGTGGAGAATATCTAGCCTGGAACTCTCTTCCACCACCAGCCATCTGCCATCGACTCCCTGTCCTTGTTCAAGTCCGATGTCAAGTCCTGTGCTTTTTTTCTACTCTACGACTGTGCGGTCGCGTGCAGACGCGAAATATGTCCGCGTTGTGCGCATTGTTTTGTGTAGAATGGGACTGAAGATGCCGAAGACGACAGCGATAGTGATAGCGATGACGACGACGTACAGGTCACTATTGGGGACATCAAGACAGGCGCGCCACAGTACACGTGAGTACGCACACACACACACAGGCGCACGCACACAGGCGCACGCACACAGGCGCACGCACACACGCACACACATGCACGTACGCACGCACGCACACACACAGGCACGCACACACACAGGCACGCACACACACACGCATGCACACACACAAAGGCACATCTGCACACACACAGGCACATACGCACGCACGCACACATACACACAGGCACGCACGCACACACACACGCACACACACATGCAGATACAGGCGTGCGTACGCACGCACATGTACACATGCACAAACAGGCACGCGCACGCTCACGGTTGCACACACCCACATGCATCTTCACAAACATGCTGTTCACACGTTTTAGTTTTTTCAGTTTTTGAACCAGCTGGCTAGGATTGAGCAAAACTTAGTCCACGAATTGTTTAAATACTCTCGCATAAGCGCACATACATATCGTGTACACACAAACTAGTAGCCGCATTCACACACACGCTAACCACTGTACCACCACTCCATAATAAGGGTTAGGGTTCCGCTGCACTACACACAAAGACAAAGATCCCCTATTTATCCTTAACAGACTGTAGGGGCAAGTGCTGTTAGCGAGCACCCTATGGAGGCCGGAACGGTACACGAGGGGGTGGGTGGCCAACACCACGCCCGGCCGCCTTTGTCTCCCTAGTGACGATGTTTACACATCGCACCAGGTACTCATTTGAGGCTGAGTCGATCTAGGGGAGGCCCTGGACTGGTTCAGATAATCGTCACCGGTGTTGGCTGCGAGCGGGAATCGAACCCGGGTCGCCAGGTTCATAGCGCAGCGCGCTAACCGCCAGGTTCATAGCGCAGCGCGCTAACCGCTACACTACCCGCTCCCCACACGCACAAATGCACACACACCCCCATAGCCCTTGCACACACATGCATGGACACATGTAAGCTACACTGTATACGTCTATACCAACTAGCAAATCACGGTCACTGAGTGTACACCACTGATTGATCACAAAGATTGGCCCCTGTGGAATGTCCACCACTGAAATAGGTGACAAGTGGAGATAAGCTCTACCCCATCTTTAACTTTTAAACCAACTTATCAATGCAAGTCTGTGCTAGCAGTTTATTTTTTTTTCAAGTATCACTGTTATAACAATTTATTTTTAATCATGTTAGATAAAAACAAAATAAAAAAGCATGGATAAAATGTATGTTCCTCCAAAAAATATATCCCTACATTTTTGGTCCGACATTTTTTATTAAATGAATATAGGCCACAGTGAATACGTTTGTGTGTTCCATCTAATTACGCTTGTAATCGGGAGGCTGACTTAAAAAAATGTGTAAAACATAGAACACTGTAGCAGTGGCTGTTAGAAATTATTCCATTTTGGAAAGAAAGTTACTTGACTCATACGCGTGCATTTATTTCTGCTCTATTACGTGATGAAGCAACAATCTGGATTATACGATGGGCCGTCATGATTATAACCCCCACCTGTTTTGTGTTCAGCGGCGTGAACCCTGAATATCAAGCCCGGTGCACGGCCGTATGGGGCATCCTCAGCAGGTACAGCGGCACGTGGCGTCGAGACAGATACAACACCTGCACGTACGTTGTGAAGTGCTCTGAGTGCATTTATTAGGCGCGATCTGAAGAATCGTCACAAATCACGGTCTCATTTCGATAATTTTTTTCTCTCGTTCCTGCTACCCAGTTCATATTGTGTCTTGATCGGGTCTGCGTGTGTTTCTTGTTTGCGCGTCTGTGTGTTTGTGTGTGTGTATGTGCGATAGTGTAGCGGTTAGCGTGCTGTGCTATGAACCTGGCGACCCGGGTTCGATTCCCGCTCACGGCCAACACCAGTGAGGATTATCTGAACCGGTCCCGGGCCTCCCCTAGGTCGACTCAGCCTCAAATGAGTACCTGGTGCGGTGTGTAAACATTGCCACTGGGGAGACAAAGGCGGTCGGGCGTGGTGCTGGCCACCCACCCCCTCGTGTACCGTTCCGGCCTTCATAGGTGCTCGCTAACAGCACTTGCCCCTACAGTCTGTTACAGGCTATACGGGGGGATCTTTATCTTTGTGTATGTGCACGTGAGGGAGGCTGACATTTGGGCTACGCCCATATCAAACCTTTATAAAGCAGTTATCTTTAGAAGCTAACCCCCCCTTTCTCCTCATGACGACCGCTTGTGTTGCGTCCGGAACGTCGTAGTTTTTTTTGTTAGTTTCCTTGGACCTATCTCCGTGACTTTACTGAAAGACCCAAAGAATACGTGTACGTGTTTTCGTACACGGACAGTGGGGGGAGCGGGAGTGCTGCGATGAGCGCACTTCACTTCGACTCCGGCGATCCGAGTTCCATTCCCGCTCACGGCTTACACCGGGGGACGATTGTTTGCACCCCTCCAGGGCTTCCCCTAGGTCGACTCGGCCTCAAATGAATATCTAGAGCAGTGCGTAAGCATTACCACTCATGAGACAAAAGTCGGGTCGGACGTGGCGCTGGCCACCCAACCCCTTCGTAAGTGCTCGCTAACAGCACCTGCCCCAGTCCTCTGTTAAAGCGTTACTGGGGATCTTTGTGTTTGTACAGTATTCCCTCGTTATTCGCGAGGGATTTGTTCTGGAGGTGCTCATGGATAGAAAACGGTGCGAATAATGACATGTCAAGAATTACATGAATTAAATAAAAAAAATAACAACCTATTAAACTAATGAATATATAGTGACACAAAAACATTGAAATTGGTTGCCATAAACAAAGTAATTAATAATTAATATAAAAAATGAAATCATAGTTTATAAATTTACTTACCTTAATCTCATCACCTTATCTCATCACTTTCTCGCACTCTCGATGCAGTCGTGTAGAGTCCCAGGTGTGATTCGCGCATAGCCAAAATCGCCGACAGCAAGTTCATCAACGTGCTCCTGCGCGTACCCTACTTGCGTGCAAGCGTAGCGCTGACTTGCTGTGTGCGTGCATGGGTGTAGCATCGACGCGCGCTCCGAGCCCGTACTCGGTTCGTGAGTGTAGTATTGCCTGCTGCGTGCTCGAATCTTTCCCCCCCCACCTCTTCCCGTGCCCGCAGCCGGACCCCAAACAGGTGAAGGGCGTGGATCTGGACGCGCCGGGGAGCATCGCCGGCATTCCTGTTCTCGAGGTTGACCTCGACTCCTTTGAGGACAAGCCCTGGCGCAAAACCAGGTGTGGACAGCCTCAGGAACCGCACCGCGCCGCACGCAGAGAAAGCTTCCTCTGTGCTCTGTTTCGGTGGGCGAGAGAGAGCCTGGTTGGATTCATTAGGGCATCCGCGGTGACTCGGAGATGTTAACTACCTCGCTTAGTATGCGGGAGGTCGTGGGTTCGATCCCGACCGTGATGCCTGCTCAATATTTGGAGTTTGCGAGTTCTTCCCGTAGTCACGTAGATCTTTCCCTCCAAATTTAGAATCAACATCACACGTTTTGGAGTGTTTGGCTGCTATTAATTTCCGCGCGATAAGCCACTAAGTTCATCTATCATTTGTGGCCAGTTTGCTTCTGACAAAGAGCGATACTGCTCGGTGAGCCTTTACTGGTAAAATAAAAAATAGTTTAGTTTATGCTTCATGGCATTGAGGATGCAGGTTCACAAACGACAATGACAAAGGCCCCTGTTTAGCCGTAGCAGGTATTAGAGCCTCCTGCAAAAAAGTCGCGACTCGTTCAGACTTTCCTGGGTAGATGAAGAGCAATACACTTTTATGAATGCATATGTGTGTGGTGCGTGTGTGCCTGGTGTGTATGTGTATGTGCTTTGTATGTGTGTCCTTTGCGTTGGTGTGCGTGGTACGTGTGTCCGTATATGTGAGTAGTGTATGTGTGCCTGTGGTCTGTGAATGTGTGCGTGCGTGGCACGTGTTTGTGTGTGGTGTGCGAGCTGTATTTTGCTTGGTTCGTTAACGTGTGTTTGTGTGCATGTTTAAAGTATGCGGTGAGCGCTTAGCGTCCTGCGCTGTCAACCCGGCGACCCGGGTTCAATTCCCATTCACAGCCAACACCAGTGACGATTATCTGAACTGGCCCTGGGCCTCCTCTAGGTTGACTCAGCCTCAAATGATTATCTGGTCCGGTGTGTATACATCGCCACGAAGGAGCTAAAGGTGTTTGAGCATGGTGCTGACCACCCACCCCTTCGTGTGCCGTGCCAGCTTTCATAAGGTGCTACTCGCGAACTGCACTTGCCCCCCCCAAAGTCTGTTGAGGCTACAAGTGGGGCTCTTTGTCTTTGGCGCACGTGTGTCTTTGTCGCTGTGTTCCGTTTTGCAGGCGCGGATCTGTCCGACTACTTCAACTTTGGCTTCAACGAGGACACGTGGAAGGCGTACTGCGAGAAGCAGAAGCGTCTGCGCCAGGGACTCGACCCGCTGCCCAGCGGCCCGGCCACGAACCGCATCACGGTGCGCGCTCGCTCAATCGCTCGCTCCATCGCTCGCGCCATCGCTCGCTCCATCGCTCGGCCGCTCCGTCGCTTCCGCCCGCCGCTCTGCCGATCCGTTGCCCGGGCCTCAGCCGTGATCGCCGATCTTTTTCCAGCGGACCTCGCGGTGGTGGGGATATTTATTGCCGCGCCTGCGAGAGTGAAAGAGTGCGCGCGTGTGGCGGAAGTTGCGCACATGCGGTTTGGTCTCGGGGTCATGGCGCTGTGGTGCCCCCAGCGCTGTGCGCCGCAGCCCCAGCGGTCGGGGTTTGAGTCCTGATCGCGATGGACCCCAAGCCTGATTCTTAAACAGCCCTGTGACGCCTGCTGTATATTTGGAGTTTGCATGTCTCGCGGGTGGTTAGCGCGCTGGAGCTAGGTACCTGGCGACCTGAGTTCTTTTTTCGGCCGTAGGTAACATCATTAGCGGTTAACTGAACCACTGAGAGGCCTTCATTAGATTGGCTCTGACTCGAAAGAGAATCTTGCGTGTTGTGTAAACATCGGCACTGAGGAGACAAAGGCAGCCGGGCGGGATGCCGTCAACACCACATTTGTGCGCTGTGCCGGCCTTCATAGGTGCTCGTGAATGACACTTGCCCCAGCAGTCTTCTTAGGCTATTCACGGATCTTTGTTTTTTTTTGTGCGAGTGTGTGCCTCTGTTGTGCTATTGTGGGGAGCGGCGGTCACGGCCAACACCAGTGCCGATTTCATGAACCGGTCCTGGGCCTCCCCTAGGTCGACTCAGCCTAAAAAAATAGTACCTGGTGCGGTGTTTCGGCATCGCCACTGGGGACACAAAGGCGGCCGGGCATTGTGCTGGCCACCCATCTTCTTACGAACCGTGCCGGCCTTCGTAGGTGCTCGTGAACAGCATTTGCCCCAATAGTCTGTTAACGGCTAAACGGGGGATCTTTGTTTATTACATGCTTTCTTTTAACTCAATTGTAACCCACTTTCCCATGTGGTATCGACTGCAAACTTGGTATACTTATGTCATACTGATGACAATACTATATTCTATCATAAAAATGTATCTTTTTAAACATTTTTTTTATACGTTACATTTCGGCTTGGGTCTAATTGGCCACGGTCAACTGACGTTGGCTGTAATTGGCCACGGTCCCCTTACGTTGTGGCAAGCTTCGGAGGCCACTTCCTGGAGTCGTGGAGTTCTGCCATTACCAGTACATTTAATAAAAAGCGTGTTTTATATAAAAAAAGTTATTTAAAAAATATTACTTATTTATCTTTGTTGTGCTATTATACGTCCGATATAACCTGTCCATTAGGTGGCATCTGAGTTTAGACGATCGCGGTGTCTCGTTCGCTCCCCGTGTTGTGATTCGCTGGGGCCGTCCGTGCGTCACGACGATCATTAGGTGGTAGGCACTGCCGTCACACGGCTTTGCTGTGCGCAGGTCGGCGTGTCCGGCACACGTAATGATTCATTACGCAGAGAGGTGTGTGTGTGTGTGTGTGGTTTGTGGAATCCAGTGCACTTATAATTTTGTAATTCATTTGTTGTTTTGCACCGTTCACTTGAAGAGCGCTTGTGAACCATTTGACCGGGCTTTGGCTGTAAGTGGCAGTCATTTGTCCCAGCACGAGTCTCGGTTCACACTACCGTCCTTTATTCATCATCGTCAACAGCCGTGATATATCCACTGCTGGATGAAGCCCTTCCCAAGCCGCTGCCATCTCGCGGTGTCAGCGGTTCGTTCAGCTCCTGTACACAAACCCAATTTCGTCGCTCCATCTCCACGTTCGACTTACTCTCGGGCGCGTTCCCCTCCCTCTCAACGGCGCTTCCATCGCAAGCCGCGACCTTCGGCCATCGGCCCTTGGAGCGATGAGTTGTGCGACGCGTTTCCTTGTGTTCACCGCCATCGGTTAAATTTCGATTTAAAGCTTTCGTGACTGCAAGGATTCATCTTCTTTGGTTCTTTGGGTAAAGTCACGTAGAATGAGAATAAAATAATAAATTGATAAAATAAAATTAACGTGATAATATTCTCACGACGTTTCGGCCACGACTCAAGCGGCCTTCATCAGGTGAAGGGACGAGACTGTCTGGAGGACAGCGCTGGAGTGTTGTTCTCCAGACAGTCTCGTCCCTTCACCTGATGAAGGCCGCTTGTGTTGTGGCCGAAACGTCGTGAGAATATTATTGCTTTATTTTATTTTATCAATTTATTATTTTATTCTCATTCTACGTGGTGACTTTACCGAAAGAACCAAAGAAGACGCCATCGGTTAGTTCGCCCGCATGCTTCGTCGTTGTCACCGGGACTTTGTTGCCTCCTCAACGCCGGGGCGCCTTGACCCGCCGCTGGATCTCGCGCATGCCGTCGTCAGTGTGGCGGGGCAGCGGAGGACAGTACGGCATTCCCTCGTTATTCGCGACGTGGGATGCTTTCCGGAGATGCTCGCGAATAACAAATTTCACGGATAGTGCTAATGGCCGACGATTATCGCACGCAAGATTTGAAAGCTTCCAGAAGTTATCTATCTCTTCATCTCGCATCGCTCTCTCATCACTTCCACTCTCATCACTTTATCTCTCATCACTTTTTCTTTCTATCACATCACGTTTTTTCTCTCTCTCTCTCGATGCAGTCGCGTAGAGTTCCCGATGCGATTCGCGGATCGTAAAAATTGCGGGTGGCAAGCTCGTGAATGACGAGGTAATACTGCGCAGCGGAATCCGTTGTACTGTACTTCTGTTCTCCCGTCCACGTCCGTGCCTCTCAGCCTTCGTCAGCCCGCGCCGACCGCGTTAAGAAATGACCTTCACCGACCCCCCCCGTGGCCTGCTCGGCGTGGGGGCCCGGCGCTCGCTCGCCCCGGCGGTTGATTGACAGAAGGGACGCGCTCGTGCAGGATTAACTTGGCGAGCGGCCGCCCGAGCGGTTCGAGCGGACCGTACGTGTACGTGAGGGCCAGGCACGTACGTCGCGAGCTGAGGAGGCGCCGTAGAGCGTCGGACGGGCGCGTTGTCGCTCGCAATGCGGCCCGAGCGTCCGCACGCCGCTCGCACGCCTCGCTCCACCCGCCGCTCCCGCTTGTGAACTTTTTGCTATTCAGTTTTTTTTTTATTTTACCGGTTAAGGGCCACTGAGCTCTGTCGTTCTTTTTTCAGACGCGACCTGGCCATCATAAATGACGGCTCAAGGAAGTGGCTTATCGTCGCGTGAAAATTTGTAGGAGCCAAATACTCTGAACGAGTTGATTCGAAATGTGGAGGGAAAAACTGCAGGAGCCGGATAAATATCCTTGCAACCACGGGGAGAGAGACGCGCAAACTCCAAATATACAGCAGGTGTCAGGGTCGAGATCGAACCCACGCCCTCCTGTATACCGGGCGAGGGAGTTAACATCTCGCCACCGTGGCACCCACAGGTGCAGCAAGGGCGGACGGGAAACCTGCTCGACAAGGAGCAAGACATGGCCGGACCGACGCTCATTAAGACCGAGTTCCCGCTGCAGCAGGGTGGCTTGCGACGGATGGGACCCCCGCCTCACAGGTAGCGCTCCACCCCCGCGGCACAACCTGGCCATGTGGCGGCGGTGGCGGCAGCAGCAGTGTCCTGTAGTGTCCTGTAGTGTCCTGTAGTGTCCTGTAGTGTCCCTGAAGTGTCCTGTAGTGTCCTGTAGTGTCCTGTAGTGTCCCTGAAATTTCCTGCAGTGTCCCCTGCAGTGTCCCTACAGTGTCCCTGCAGTGTCCCTACAGTGTCCCTGCAGTGTCCCTACAGTGTCCCTACAGTGTCCTACAGTGTCCCCTACAGTGTCCCAACAGTGTCCCTACAGTGTCCCTACAGTGTCCCTACAGTGTCCCAACAGTGTCCCTACAGTGTCCCTACAGTGTCCCTACAGTGTCCCTGCAGTGTCCCTGCAGTGTCCCTACAGTGTCCCTACAGTGTCCCTACAGTGTCCCTGTAGTGTCCCTGCAGTGTCCCTACAGTGTCCCTGCAGTGTCCCTGTAGTGTCCCTACAGTGTCCCTACAGTGTCCCTACAGTGTCCCTACAGTGTCCCTGCAGTGTCCCTACAGTGTCCCTGCATTGTCCCTGCTGTGGCCCTACAGTGTCCCTGCAGTGTCCCTGCAGTGTCCCTACAGTGTCCCTGCAGTGTACCTGCAGTGTCTCTACAGTGTCCCTACAGTGTCCCTACAGTGTCCCTACAGTGTCCCTGTAGTGTCCCTACAGTGTCCCTGCAGTGGCCCTACAGTGTCCCTGCAGTGTCCCTGCAGTGTCCCTGCAGTGTCCCTGCATTGTCCCTGCAGTGGCCCTGCAGTGGCCCTACAGTGTCCTTACAGTGTCCCTGCAGTGTCCCTACAGTGTCTCTGCAGTGTCTCTACAGTGTCCCTACAGTGTCCCTACAGTGTCCCTACAGTGTCCCTACAGTGTCCCTGCAGTGTCCCTACAGTGTCCCTGCAGTGTCCCTGCAGTGTCTCTACAGTGTCCCTACAGTGTCCCTACAGTGTCCCTACAGTGTCCCTGTAGTGTCCCTGCAGTGTCCCTACAGTGTCCCTGCATTGTCCCTGCAGTGGCCCTACAGTGTCCCTACAGTGTCCCTGCAGTGTCCCTGCAGTGTCCCTACAGTGTCCCTGCAGTGTCCCTACAGTGTCCCTGCAGTGTCTCTACAGTGTCCCTACAGTGTCCCTACAGTGTCCCTGCAGTGGCCCTACAGTGGCCCTACAGGGGCCCTGCAGTGTCCTGCAGCACAGCCTCAGCTATGCCGTTGAGGATGAGTGAGATGTTGGTGTTTGATCGGTCGCAAATGACTACGCAAGAAAGCATATCACATTCAACGCGTTTCTACACTTAACGTGGCTAAATTCCAGCTGTGAGAACTTGCAGTGAACATTATTTTTGAAGGCAGAGGAGGTAGACAGTGTTTCCCCCTCCCGTGTGGAACAGAGGTCACTCTGGAAGGGGTCGCGGAGGTAGCTCTGTGATATCCGCTTCCTTACGCCGTTCTCTAACAATTGCACTGCTCTTTAAGAGCTCCGAATGAATTCTTCTCCTCCAGACATTCCCGACGATGGTGCAGTCTGAATGAACATGTTTTGGTTTTCCTTCCCCCGAACCTCCGTTCAGCACAGTTGGCTACGTACGGTGTCGAACGAAGTTCAGCATTCGCCCGTGCATGCATACGTGCCGACGCGCGGTCAAATAATCCCGAGAGCCGTACGGCGCGCGGAAGGCCCTCTTGTAGCAGCGAAAGAATAAAGATGGGTGCACATGCCGAGCAGGGAGCATGTACGTGCAGCGGCATGGATTCTGGTGTCGGTGGACTTACGGAGGCTCGCGTTTGCGTTTTAACATATATGAACCCAGGAAGCTGCCGGGCACCATCGATGTGATCGGGAGCCAGATGATCGGCATCACCCGCGTGGAGGGCAGGAGGCGAGATCGCGACGGCCTCCCCGAGCCCAGCCCCATCCAGGCAAGGGCCGTCCCCACCACGCAAATGCCGCTGCAGCCACCACATGTCCACCACACTCCTGGCACCGCTGAGTCGCCACCGCACCGCCACCGCACTGCCGCACCACAGCCGCGCCGCCGTCGCAGCCCCGCCGCGCTGCCACGCCGCTGCGGCTCCCGCCACACCACCGCAACGCCGTATGTTCAACTCCTTTCGCACGCTGTGTTAACCAACCGCGCTAATCGGCGGTGCCGGGGCTGTCGAGTCCCGGCGAGGTACACGCGTGCAGCCGTTTTGAACGTCCGCTGCTGGACGAGGGGCACCCTCCCAACACCCCTTGCGCGGGTCTTGGGGGACGGCGCCATTCCTTAGAGGGCCGCGGTCCGCTTCGAACGTCACCCGCCAAACGAAGTGCGCGGTTTTGCCAGGGTTTGGTCATCAAAGGCGGGCGACTGCATCCGACAAGTGATTGCCGTCGTCGCCTTCGAGCTGAGCTCTTCTCGATCGTGCGGCGCAGTACACATTTTTTTTATTTTGCTGCAGCGCCCAGCACCGATAGCCCCAAAATCAGATCCCGTGCTTGGTATGTATGTACGGTAAAACCTTGGATTGCGAGTAACTTTGTCTGCGAGTGTTTTGCAAGACGAGCAAATTTTTTGAAAATAGATATAAATTTGATGAACGAGCTAGAGTCTTGCAATACGAGTAGTAGTACGTATATACGCTTTGTCGGCCGAGCGTCACGTGATCACAACTGATATACGAGTGCTTTGATATACGAGTGCTTTGGATTGCAAGCACGTTTCCGGAACGAATTATGCTCGCAATCCAAGGTTTTAGTGAATGTTGAACTTCTTTCGCACCGCACGTAGCCAACCGCGGCTAATTGGAGGTACGAGGGGGGGGGGAAGGACAACAATCGAAACACAAAAAAGCAGTTCTAAAAGAAATGGGCTTTCAATCTAGATTTCAAAGTGCATAGCTTCAGTGGCTTCCAAGTGAAGCCACTGAAGCTGTTCACGTACGTAGCTAACCGTGCTAGTCGGTATCCGGGATGAGCTGGCAATGTCCGACGAGCGCTTGCCCAATCCCACCTGCCTTTTTATTAAGCCGTTCCGCAGTCTCGTACCGCTCTGAAGCCACTGAGGCGGCTCCCTGGCCTGCAGCCCCTTGCAGGAGTTAAACGCATGCAGGTGTCGGCCCTACCTCTTACACTTGAACAAGGGGGGGGTGGGGGTGGAGGGGGGCACGTGTCACGCCATACGAGCCCGGCAACCGGGAAACGTGGGCGGGGTGGGGGGGGGGCAAAGTCTTTGAAATTCATCGCGGCGGTGGGTTTTGTGAACGAGGTTCCCTGTAAACATTTTTTGCCGTCTTTGAAGGGTAGGGGGGGGTGGGGTGGCTTCGTAACAAAGGGCTCGCGCGTGTTTGATATTTGACGTTGCCTGCTTTGGTCAAGATTTCGAATGAACATCTCCGTTTCCTTTCCTTGCCGCCCGCGCTGGGGTTTTAATTGTGCAATTGTAATCGGATAACGAGACCCTGGTGATTACCTCTGTCTCGCTAAAAACAGAAATGCCACATTCTCGGGCGAGGGCTAAGTGGTACTGTCAGATGAACACTCTGTACCTGCTTGGGTTTTGGAGACACTTTGGCCTGACAGCCGGGCGTTCAAAGGTCCTGAGCTGAGACACGTTTAGTAATCAGTAAAAAAAAAATGTGCAAAGTGCAAAAAACCATGGTAACTCATCAAGACTTTTGAGGACCCTACTAGGTGGCGCTGGGCTCGGATGCACTGAGCCACCACTCGCGAGTTTCAGGCTGTGATTTTGGGTTTCAGCCGTCCGGAAATGAACGGTGCTCCCCAGGGTAACGAGACTATGACTGTAGTAAATGAAAAAAAAACATTGTTTCACATACAACAAACATACTCTTTGGTTCTGTCGGTAAAGTCACGTAGACGTAAAAAATAGAAATGAATAAACCACGACGTTTCGATTGCGAAACAAGCAATCATCATCAGGTGTGACAGCCACAGCAAGGACATTTTTTACTGTGAAAAATTTCCTTGCTGTGATGTATTTATTTCAATTTTTTATTTTTATGTATTTTATTTATTTTTTCACCTACGTGACTTTACTGAAAGAACCAAAGAGTATGTATCCTTGCAGTCACGAAAACTTCAAATCTAGAATACAACAAGCAGTTTTGTTTGGCTTTCGCAACCAATATTATCCACAATAGAGGTTTTTGAGTGAGATCGCGTAACGTGCTGTTTAACCCGCCACCGCCCGACAGCGAAATTGGTAAGGTTCGTCACGTAAACAAAATATACCAATTTGTTACTCGTACAGCACACCGGTGTGTTGGGGGGGTAAACCCACAATCATTTACAATTTGAGTACGACGTTTCGTCCGTAATTACAACCAGCATCGTCAGGTGACAGCCAGAATTGTGGATCGTGCTGTCGCCAGATTTGCATGGAAGATGAAAGAAAGGTAGGTGTGCACTTAGTGTGGCTAAGAAAATCCCGTCCCCTCCATTCCTTGGCAGTTCTTTGGCACAGAGTGGTGCACCGCTCGCTGCAAGCAAGTGGATGTCATAAACGCGGTCCGGGCATAATTGTGGGCAACGGTACATTTTTGGGGAAAAAAATAAAAAAAGGCTGTGTCCCCAGGACGCTGAGCGAGGAATCGGCCTGCGCGGGTGACCTTGCTGAGCGCGCGTGCGCCGAGCACAAGCCCGACTAGAAGGTAGCGCCGTTCCACCTTTCCGCTTCGCTCCCGCACGTGGCCTCCGCCGCAGTTTGGCGGGGGCGGACGCCGGTAATGATTTCCAGCGACGGAAGCTTTTAATCTGCCGGACGGTGATGTACGAGAAGGAAAGTCCGCGCGCGGCCCTTGGGATGCGTGTTTTTAATGCGCGCCTTACACTCGCGCACGTGCGCACGCTTTTTTATTTTTTTGTTATTATTATTATTATCCGGTACGGCTTGTCGCCACGTCGCGCACCATTAATGTTCACCTGAGAGGCTTTGATACCGTAGGTGCACGCCAGTGGACGAATGGGGTATTTGTTGCCGCACGTGCGAGAGAGATAGAGAGAGAGAGAGCGAGAGCGCGCGTGTGTGCCGGAAATTGCGCGCCTGCAGGTTTGGTCTCGGGAGTGGCGATGTGGCGGGTTCAGCGCTGTGCGCCACAAACCCAGCGGGTCGGGGTTTGAGTCCTGATTATCATGGACCCCAAACCTAAGTCTAAACCAGCTCTAACTCGAGTCTAACACAACCCTGATCCCTATTTTAATCGTAAGCCAACCATAATCCTAACCAAAACCTAATTAAAGCCTAATCCTAATCTTAACACAATCTTAAATTAACCCCAACTCTAACAAACATAACACATACCCAATCCCAATGGGAATGCTATCTCTAACCTTACCTATAACCATAACCAGACCCTAACCTAAAACTAATAAATATTCTTTTTCACTTTCCAAGTAAGGCCCACTGAGCTATATAGTAATTTTTCTGAAGTGACCTGGCCACAAATGATAGCTTAGCGAAGTGGCTTATCATGTGGAAATGTATAGCAGCCAAATACTCTAAATGCATCTTGATTCTGAATGTGGAGAGATAAACTGGAGAAAAATCCACTCGACCGCGTGGAGAGAGACATGCAAACTCCAAATATACAGGCGTCAGTTCGGGATTGAACCCTTGACCTCCACCGTGGCGACCCCATAGCTAATCCTGACCCGTACCTAAACCATAACACTAACCCCGAACTCCTAACATACATAACCCGACCACAACCCCAAGCCCACCTGAGACTCTGCCGCGTTTCTGTGGCCGTGCCCCAGGTGCTCGGGACGCTGCCGCCCCCCGGAGACTACAGTGCGAACCAGGGCAAGCCTCCGCCGTCCTTCGCACCCCCAACAGCCCCGCCGCCCCTGCGGCCCATGGGCCTCCCGCCTAACTTCATGCCACCGCCACCCATCCTGCCGCCACCCGTGAGTGTGGGCCCCCCGCACATACCTCCTCCAGGTGAGCACGACACAGCCACACACCTTGCACCAGCACCGCCCCTACACTAAGCTCAACCCCGTCCCCAGCACCAACCCCAACTTCGCCCCACACACCAACCCCCATTCATAACCCCAACTCTGCCCCTCACCCCATCCCCACCCCTAACCCCAGCACTGCCTGTAACCCCCAACACCTCCTCTCACCTTATCTCCAACCCGATCCCTTACCCTCAATTCCGCCCCAACACTAACCCCAACCCTGCCGCTAATTCCAACCCCGCCCCTAACCCCGACCCCGCCCCCAACCCCAACACCGCCCATAACCTTAATCCCAACCCCACCCCTTACCCCGAGCTTGCCCCAACACACCAACCCTGCCCCGCATGTTAAGCGCATACAGTAAGTCCTCGTTTAACGCGGTGGATGTGTTCCTGAAAAGTGCGTGGTACGTGAAAAACGCGTCGGGCGAAAACAATTTCCCCGTAAATAATTGTACGATGCGACGCACAAGCAGTGACATGGCGGGACAAATAACTGAGCGTAGACCGCCACGTCACTGTGTCGCTCTGCGCACTGTATTCCTGTACCGTTCAGCCACGCAGCTCAAGAAATCGGTTCTGTATCTGTGCACGTTCCACGTTATATCGGTGCGCTGTTCCGCCTTAAAATGTTGCGCGTTCCACGTTATAACGGTTCGCGTTCCGTGTTAAATCTGTGCACGTTCCACGTTATAACGGTGCACGTTCCACGTTATATCTGTGCACGTTCCACGTTATAACGGTGCACGTTCCGTGTTATATCTGTGCACGTTCCACGTTATAACGGTGCACGTTCCGTGTTATATCTGTGCACGTTCCGTGTTATATCTGTGCACGTTGCACGTTATAACGGTTCGCATTCCACGTTATATCGGTGCGCGTTCCGTGTTATATCTGTGCACGTTGCACATTATAACGGTCGCGTTGCACGTTATAACGGTGCGCGTTCCATGTTATAACGGTTCGCGTTCCGTGTTATATCTGTGCACGTTCCACGTTATATCTGTGCACGTTCCGTGTTATATCTGTGCACGTTGCACGTTATAACGGTTCGCATTCCACGTTATATCGGTGCGCGTTCCGTGTTATATCTGTGCACGTTGCACGTTATAACGGTTCGCGTTGCACGTTATAACGGTGCGCGTCCCGCGTTATGACGGTGCGTGTTCCGCGTTGCAAGCGCACGCGGTTTCGCGTTGTAACGGGGTGCACGTTCCACGTTACGATAGTGCGCATTCCGCATTGTGCGACAAGTGTTCCCGAATGGAAGAACCGCGTTATAGCGTGAACACCGCCACGCGTTAAGCGAGGACTCGCCGTAGACGGAAGCGACTTTTGTGTGTCACGTTGCCTCCCCTCCGCTCCCCTCCCCTCCCCTCCTTTCACCTGCGGCACGGAGACCCCCGGGCATCTCGCTTGCCAGTTTTCTGGAAAATTCTGAAGCCCCGTAGTTTGTCCCCGTTTAGATCCAATGATTGCTGTCCCCTTGGTCGCCCACTCGCATCCCATTATTCGTCTCGGCGCTCGTCCCTTGGAATTGATTCCGGCCGAAGTTTCAGACCCATTGCGCTGATTGCGACTGGTTGCCTTTCCCAACGTTTTCGGAGCCACTTTAAGGATCGCCGTCTTGCGCTTGTGTCTCTTCTTCATCTTCTGCGCATTTATTTATTGGGGTTGAACAAAAACAAAAAAGCCACGCGCGCTGACGATGTCACTGTGTTCTTTAAAGTAATGGAATTGAGTTGAGTAGCGAGACCGTTGGCAAAGAATGTTGAGTTGGCCGAGCCGTGTGGATTACAGTGGCCACTAGCCCTAATTTAACACAATCGTCTTCAGCCCGCTGCAATTTGCGCAAACGTTCGCCAACGACGGTAATAGTTTGACGTTCAGAAGCTGTTGCATTTACAGCTGTTTGTCAACCCACTGCTGGATGACGGCCTCCACAGGCCCTGCTGGTCATGTGGTTTGTTTAACCATACCTCACCATGCCGATCACTGTTGCTTTTCGGGAAGAGGGGAACCAGCACTGGTTCAGACATCACCCACCCCCCCCACCCCCACCCTACCCCCGACTGGACGTCAGCTGTAGCCAGGAGTCGAACTCGGTTTGCCGGGTTAGCGGCTAGTTGCACGAACGGCTGCCGCTTCACGCGACGTTCCGCCGAGCCGAAGACAGGCGGCGGCCCGTCAACTTTTCACCCCGGCGACGATGTCGCTTGCGAGCGGCGAGGCGCCGGCGGCCAGCTTGGTCACGAGCGGTCACGCCGATCCATCGTGAGAGCCCAGCTGTAACGGGCGCCGCTTTGAACACGATTGCGTCGCTCGGCATCCGTGCCCCGTTTCATCAGCCTCGCCTCGTGAACGAGCTGACTCGCCGCGCTGTGACCTCGGCCCCCATGCCTCGCCGCCGCTGCTGCCGCTCATCAAAGCCGAGCGTGCCTATTTGGGGCCCGTTTGGCGCTCGGCGGAGAAGGGTCGATCGCGATCGATGGAATTGTTTCTGCGTAATCCGCTCGTGCGTTTCGCGTTGGGCCCCGGTGGCGGTGCTGGAGACGGCGGGGGGAGCGGTACGCGCGCATGGTGGTACGGTACACTGAGCGGTACGGTACACCGAGCGGTACGGTACACTGAGCGGTACGGTACACCGAGCGGTACGGCACACTGAGCAGTACGGTACACGGAGCGGTACGGTCGCATGTTCTGACGGCGGTCGGCCTTGCCGGGCCGTGCCCCGGCTACGGGCTCCCGGCTCGCTCGACGCTGCCAAGGGCTCGCCAGCGCTCGTGAGCCGATGGGCATCGAGGAAATGGGGGGGGGGGGGTGGGGGGGGTGCCGTGGCTCGCGAGCGCACTGTGCCGCGAACCCGTTGGACTTGAGTTGGGTTCACGGCGACGGTGATCATCGGTGGCGGGAATGGTGCCGAGGTGACCGGTCTCGTAGCGCAGGGCGCTGCGGCACCAACAGGCCAGGGTGAACGAGGCAATGAAGTTGAGCTGGTGCAGCAGATGTTTCTTCACAGCTGCTGAGAACCGCTGTGCTGATTGGGAGGCAGGGGGTGGTGGCAGCGGCGCTGCGGTCAAGCAACCCCCATGACCAGCACGCTGCGGGGGAGGCCTCCATCCAGCAGTGGATTGCCAAGGGGGCTGTAGATAATTTATTATTCCACTGATGTTAGAACATCAATTTCATATCCCCACGCGCCTCGCCGAAGATTAAATGAATGAGCGCTGTTATTAAGGGACTTTTGAATGATGAATTAGCTCGTAATGCGCGTTTAAAAAAAAACCCCACGGCATTCACGGCTTTGTCAATTTGAAACCAACAGAGTTCGTTCGTGCGTGCGGCGTGAAGAGGCGCGTCCCGTCGCGCGCACCTCATTCACCATTCACCCCGGTGTTCCCATTCTTCATACGCAGCGGCCGCGAGGCGCAGCGTTCAGTCCCGAGCGTCTGCGAGCGTTCTTATCTCTCGCCGGGGGGGGGGGGTGGGGGGGGAGAGGAGGGAGAGTCGGGTTTTGGCAGGCGGCTGCGAGCGATCCGAGGCGGAAGTGGTTTTGGGCACGGGTACAGAAATGTGCTCCTCATCTTGGCTTTATCGGCACGCACGTGCCCAAATTTCAAGCGCAACACGTAGGCGGCGCCGATCCAGATGGGGAAAACGGGGGTCCTGCCGTGGGAGCCAGATGTGAGTGGGCGTAAAGACGCTGTCTGTAGGATGGCCCCTCGGATGCCTTGTGTGGGTAAGCGGGTGAAAGTGACTCCCCTTGCTCAAGCAAAGCGCGGTGCGTTGTGCTGCTCCCTCCTCTGTTGGTGGATATTTGAGCCATTGGTGGACATTCGACATTCTCATGGCAAACGGCCAGCGTAGTTTGTGAGTGTTTCAGTCGGAGGGTATTCGGCTGTTTGGGTGGCCTCGAGTCAGCGGGAAATGTTACTGTGACCATTGGTGACTTCCTGCAAAGTGGTACCAATTTTATTGATCCCTCAAGAATGATTGGCTGAGTTGACCCACAACCAGGGTTTTAGCTCGCAACTTTTCAATTGAGTTGAGCACCGCAACAAGACCCCCTGGCCATATAACAAAGGTAGTGTTCGTGTTAATTAAGATGTTTCAATTGACCCTGACTGCTTAGAAACAGAATTTATTTGATGACGACAAGTCCGTTTTTTCCCCTGATTTCCAGTTGGCTCTGTGATGCGGTTAACCATTCATTGAGGATGACTTGGGTCATGTGACGCGCATGCTTACCAACCACATGGAGCCCCTTTGCGAGCCGGCGAGATGTTAACTATCTCAACTGGTATACAGGTGGTTGTGGGTTCGATCCCAACCCTATGACGCCTGCTGTATATTTGGACTTTGCAAATTCTTTCCGTGATGGTGTGGATTTTTTTTCTCAAGATCCTCCAGTTTTCCCCTTCGCATTTAGAAGCACGTGTTTGGAGTATTTGGCTGCTTCTCTAAATTTCCACACCGCAGGGCCACTTCGTTGAGCGACTATGTGTGGGCCAGGTCGCTTCTGAAATACTATACAGCTCAGTGGGCCTTACCTCGTAAAATAAAAAAAAATAGTTTAGTTTATAGTTTAGGAAAAAAAAGTTGGTTCTGGCAGGTGACTCAAACGTCATCAAATCTCATACATTTACCAATGAGTCGATGGTGATGCAGCTGCTGCGTTGGCATTGGTGTGCACAAGCACGATAATAACGAAACAAACTCGGCGCGTTCGGCAATAACATCGCAAGCGTTGAAGGCAGATAAAAAAATCTTCGGTGGGCAACGTTCCGGGCAACGACCCTTCCGGACGTGTAAGACATTTACAGTGATTTAACGCCTCCAGCCGCCACTATCTCGTAGTTATCACGATTCGTTTCTTTGTCCAGCGCTTTGGGGTTCTCGATGAAGGGCACTTTTTACATGGAATTTTCCCCCTCGTTATTACTGCACCGTGTTCAAAGTGAGCCTGTGTTTGTGGTTAATT